ATCTGGTTGGAAACTTCCGGGTCTGGACGGCCTGCCTCATGTCCCCCTCCTAATTCTTCTCCTGGCCAAGCTCAAGCCCTTTCCAACTGGCTCATGCTTTGCCAGATGCAAAACAAGCATCAAAAAAGATTTGAAACCTCACACTGAGAACTTTGAAAGAGGACCGTGATCCACGCCCCCCCCCCAGTCGCCCTGTGGTAGTCTTCTGTCCCACAGCCCCCACCGCCAGCACGGAGCACTGGGAGCCGGCCAGGGTGCAGTGGCCTTTGTCTGGGAGGCAACAGCATCTGGTCAGAGCCGCTGCCCAGCTCACTGCTCCCCCTCGGGTCCTCCTTCCGGGGTGGGGGAGCCCCCGGAGAATCACCAGAATGAGTCCTGAGCCTGCTTGTTTCATTGTCTACTTGGTTTGCTTTAAAAGTTTTCTGACGCCTGGCTCTAAGAAAGCTGGTGTCTTTCACTGCGGAGCCCAGGGCTGGCAGGCACCATCCCTTTTTGAAGCCTGCACTGGAGAGGAAGGAGAGGGCACTGACCCCCACGGCATGCATGTACATGTGTGTGTGCACGTGTGTGTGTGTGTGTGTGCATATGGCACACACAGCTGTGGAACTTCAGACAGTGCTTGGGAGACACCAGCAGAGGCTGAGTTCTCACCACTCGGAATTTATAGCTCAAAAAAATCTCGACCAACAAGCTGGGCTTGGTGGCATGGGCCTGTACTCCTCAGGAGGCTGAGGCAAGGGGATCACGAGGTCAAGGCCAGCCTGGACTACATGGTGAGACCCTGTCTCAAAAAAAAATAGCATAGCAGAATGCAAACGAAACCCACTGTTATTCTAAAGGTAAATTGTTTGGAATCCGGGCTCAGAGCCTCTGCGTACCCTGCCCGCTTCTCATAGCTGAAGTCCCATTGACCATCGGATGGCCTGGGGCCACCGGTCACTTGGTGCTGCTCCTCGGGGGGAACCAGGTCGCTTTTCAGCCTCTTTTGCAGTGGGATTGGTGGGGACGCCTGGGGCTTCAGTGGCCCCAGCCCACCTCTCCCGCCCTCCTGCCTGCAGGCAGGGCCTCCCGAGCAGGTTCAGTGACTGCCGTGAGGCCACGTGTCACATCCCGAGGGGACCGGCCATCCTGGCAGAGGCAGCCCACCCTGCTGTTTCCTGTCGCAGAGCTGGGTGCCGGTGGGACGGAGGACACTGGGAGGCTGCTCACTGCCACCCACCAGGGAGCCAGGCAGCCCTCGCTTCCACTCTGTGACCCCACATCTTCCGCTCCGAACCCTTCCTTTCCTGGGTTATTCTGAGAGATGTAGTTATGCGCGGTGGTAGAGAGATATTATGACACAAACAAAATTCTTTCTTGCACTGATCTAATAGGATAAACCCTTAGGTTTATCTGAAAGGGTTGTCTACTCTCAATAAACTGGAAAACATTTCTGGTTTTCAGGATAGTGGTGGCGTCTTCATCAGGTAATAAAACCTCTTCTGTAATTGTATATGTAAATATAAATGTATTGCCTTAAAATAGTAAATCACACACCTGCTTACAGCTTCTGTTTTTAATATCACCCTGGTAGCCTGAGATGGCCTTGAACTCAACAAGATCCTCCTGCCTCAGCCTCCCCAGTGCTGGGGCTACAAACACTGGCAGGATACTGGCCTTATTTGCATATTTTTACTGTGAACCAAGCCGCTCTCTGTATCTGTCCTTGTGGCTTCAGGCATCCAAGACTCCTCTTGCCTCGGCCCCCCACAGCATGGCAGCTGGGGATCAGGAGCTGAGCTGATATGCACACCTGTCATCCCAGCACTGGGGAGGCTGAGGCGGAGGATTGTTGGGAGTTTGAGGTCAGCCTGGGCTATGTAGTGAGATTCTGTCTCATAAAACCAAAAAAATGCTCCTGTGGAAATCGAATGAATGGGCTGTCTCTCCTGCCCTAGCACCCTGGGGCTTGGCCTTCAAACATCTCTGCTCAGCAGGGCTCAGCCTTTGTTTGCTGGTGGCGGCTGGGAGAGGAAAGGCTCCCGCTGGTGCTGGTGCTGGTGATGCACCCGAGCAAATGCAATTAATAAGCAGAGCCCGCGCCCCTCCTTCCACCCCCTGGGGCTCCATGCCAGCCACTCGGTCTCCGCAGGCCCCCTCTGGAGCCTGGAATCAGAACCTCAGAACGAGAGCAGCTCTCAAGCGTTTTTTCTGCACCTGCCAGCGGGACCGGGGAGCTGGGTAGCCACCTTGATGGGGTCCCTTTCCCCCGGGTTCTGCCCGAGCTTGCACGTGGCCCATGGCAGCCCATTTTCATAATTAGACCTGTTCCATAAAGCAGTGTTTAGATTTGCATTAAGGAGTCTTGAATTCTAATAGAAACGTTTAGCGTGGCTTTTTATGATTCATTCTCTTGACGTCTTTACCCGAGGCTGCGAGGCTGTGTCTCTTTGGATGAACAAGACCTTTAAAATGAAGAGGAGCCGGGCGTGGTGGTACAGGCCTGGCAGCCCAGCACTCGGGAGGCTGAGGCGGGAGGATCACTGCGTGCTGGAGGTCAGCTGAACCACAGAGCCAGACCCTGTCTCAAAAAATCCAGAGGGAAGAGAGGGAACAGCAGCCTGTGGGAAGAGCTGGACCACCAAGCTTGCAAAATTCTGTTTATCTTTTCTCCCATGGCTTTCATTGAAATGTGAGGCCCCAGGGGTGCTTTTTCAAACAGCATTTCTTTTTCTGTTTTTTTTTTTTTTTTTTTTTTTTTTGAGGCAGTGGCTCACTTTGTAGTTGAGAGGGTGAGACCCTCCTGCCTCAGCCTCCCGAGTGCTGAGACTACAGGTGCGCACCACACCCAGGCTGGGCAGCACTTCTGAGCTGGGCTTCTCTTCAAAGAGCTTCCTGTGCCCAGTGCCCACCCCTCCCAATGCCTGAGCCCAGCAGAACCTGCTGCTGTTCCCTGGGAAGCAGTTACAGAGCGGCAGCAGACCATAGCTGCGGGAGGGAAGGGACGTTTCTGGCCCAGCCCTGAGAGCCACCCAGAAGGACGTACATGGCTGCACTTTGCTCCCTGCAAAACACGAGTGGAAACGGCTCATGAACGAGGAAGCTGGGACCACGGGAGAAAGAATCGGGCACGTGACACTGAAATGACTAGGGGCTGCCGCCATCTGAATCTTTAAAACGTGTGTGAAACAGCTTAGAATCTTAACTGCATTTGAGGGCGCCCTAAAACGTTACTGTTTAAACAGAAGCAGGCAAAGTGCTGAGCAAAAGGTACCACCTCACTTTTTGCTCACCCCCTAATAAATGCAGATGTGCAAAACACTAATTGTTTGGCCGGCCGTGGTGCCACCTGCCTGGCATCCAGCACTGGGGAGGCTGAGGCAGGAGGATTTCCATGAGCTCAAGTTCAGGCTGACCCTGTCTCTGAACTGTAACACAAAAATTGCTTGGTTGAAAAGCATGATTTCACTCAAAGGTCTCAGGGCATCCTGTCGGTGGGCAGCTGACTCCCAGGTGGCTTGTGTCTTACTGGGTTGTGTCTCTTTTTTTGCTCTGCTTTATAAAATGTTTAAGACAAACCAAGAGATTTGGGCTTGGGAACCAGATAATAAATCAGTGCTGATATTCTGCTAGCCACTCCCCTCATTTTTCTGTAATTAAGGGTGAGGCTGAGATAGGGCACCAGGGTAAGCAGGTGCTCAGCGTGCGGGAGGACCAGAGCTGTGTTCCCAGCCCCACACAACAAAAACAGAATGCCAAGGGGCTGGGGATTTAGCTCAGCAGCATAAGTGCCTGTCTTATAAGCAGGCAGTTGTGAGTTCGATCCCTGGTACCGATAAAAAGGAAAAAGACCAAAAAAAAAAAAAAAAAAAAAAAAACCAGAATGCCAAGAAATGTAGAGCTGTGTTTTTTAAAAAACAAAAACAGCTGTCCATTTGGGGGAAGGTATTGTCCTTGGAGTGTTTGGTTGATTTTGTTTTCGTTTTTAGGGTCAAGGTCTCACTATGTGGCTCCAGGGTGGCCTTGAACTCATGGCAATCCTCCTGCCTCAGCCTCCTCGGGCTGGATGACAGGTGCCATTACACCCAGCACTGTTTCACTTTAGTTTCAAGGAATAAACTCTTTCCTCGGCCCTTTGCCCTTCTCTTCTGTAAAGTGTAAAACCCCAGGGAAGGAAGATGAATTAGGATCTTGACTTCTCAATAAATCTGTGAGGGGAGGGTTGGTTTTGTTTTTCAGCGGGTTTTTGGTTTTGTTTTGGTGTTTGTTTCTGTTGTTGGCTGGCTGGCTGGTTGGCTGCTTATTTGAGACAGGGTTTGGGAACTTTCTTTGTAGTTCAGGTCACACTTTAACTCACTTCATAGCGCAAGCTAGCCTCAAACTCACCAAAACCCCCCTGCCTCAGCCTCCCCAGGGCTGGAATTACAGGAATGCAATACTGTGCCTGGGCATTGGTTTCTCAATAAATCTGGACCAAAGGAGGCTGCTGAAACCCAGGCAGCGCACGGTTAGATGAGAGTTAGAGAGCATGGCTTGTGCTCAGGCTACAATTCTAAGACTTCAAGGAAATTCAGACTTGGCCATTGCTGCCAGGTTCACCTTGCATGGTGAACTTAATAAAATTTGTGTTCTTGAAACTGGCCATTTGTTTAAAAAAAAAAAAAAAAAGATGGTGATAACACACACGTAATCTCAGCACTCGGGAGGCTGAAGCAGGAGGATCATTGTGAGTTTCAGACCAGCCTGAGCTCCATAGTAAGACCCTGTCTTTAAAAAAAAGCAAAACAATTCTTAATGCTCTGGAGTCCTCTTCCTACCTATCAGCCTATTTCAGCGACCTCCCCTTGCGTTAAATGAATGTACGTGGAGATTATTTTGAGCACGGTAGCACAGATATAATAGGAAGAGGGCAAATTTGCTTCTCTCCGGATCCCACAGGGACTGCGCAGGCGGGGCTCACGGGACTGTGGCGGGTAGAAGGAACCTCGCAGCCTCCCACATGGTGACTAATGTTCTTTCAGGCATGGAAGGGTTCCTTCGGGGCGCCCAGGAGCTGGACAGCATCCTCAAACAGGGCTACCTGGAGAAGAAGAGCAAAGGTACTGGCGGTGGGGAAGGGCAGGGAGCCGAGGGGAGGGGTGGACGCTTCAGTTCTTCTCCACTCAGGGCCTGCACTAGGCCCAAAGGACAGCTAGGCTGAGCTGGACAGGGGGGATAGGGTGGGTCCAGCTGCACCCACACTGTCCACAGGGTGGAACGGCCCTTAAACTTTGCATAGTCCCAATGTCCGGAGGCTAAGGCAGTAGGGTCACCAGGAGTTTGAGGCCAACCTGGGCTATATAACTGAATCCCTGTCTCAAAAATGCAAAAGAACTGGGCGTGGTGCCTCACGCCTGTAATCCTGCTACTCAGGAGGCTGAGGCAGAAGGATGGTTGGGAGTTCGAGACCAGCCTGGGCCACAAAGTGAGTTCAAGGCCAGCCTGAACTGCATAGCGAGACCCTGTCTCAAAAAGAAAGAAAAAGTGGGGAGGGCCAGGGATTTAGCTCAGCCTGCCTGGCAAGCTCGAGGTGGTGAGTTTGATCCCAGGTACAAAAAAAATAATACCATCTCGTACCTGCGCACCTGTAATCCCAGCAATGTGGGATGATGAGGCAGGAGAATCAAAACTTTGAGGCCAGCCTCGGCTCTAGAGTGCAAGACTGTGTCTCAAAACCCAATTTGAGACAGGATGGAACACTGCAGGTGTAGAGTACTTGCCTGCTGTGCTACAGCTGCTAGAAGCAGTCTCCAATACCTAAAAACAAAAAATATTTTAAAAACCATGATGAATGTAATCATGGTATGCTACAAAACACGCACTAATAAAAACAAAAATAAAACTTCTTCAACATTTTAAAAAAAGAAGCCGGATGTGGTGGTGCACACGTCATCCAGCACTTGGGAGGCTGAGGCAGGAGGATCGCTGTGTGTCTGAGGCCAGCTTGGGATGCACAGTGAATGGAAGCCCGGACTACATAGCAAGACCCTGTCTCAAAACACAACCGGGATATTCCAAAGACATCACAGACAATTCAGAAGGCGCAGGATTAGAGTAGAACCCAGGAGAGGTGAAGGCGGTCAGCAGAGCGCACGGAGGCAGGTGCTTGCTCAGAGACGGGCCGGTGTCTATGTGGACTGGCCTGGGCACCTGGGCTTCAGAGCCCATCAACCCGGGGAACAGCGGCGAGGCCGGGGCTGTGCACAGCGGAATCTGCGGGCTCCGGGGCAACTCAGTTCCCTGAATTTCCATCTCCTGCTCGGTCCGTGCAGATCACAGCTTCTTCGGGTCGGAGTGGCAGAAGCGATGGTGCGTGCTGGGCAGAGATCTCTTCATCTACTACGCCAGCGAAAAGAGTAAGCACCCAGCAGCCCCGACCCTGCTCTGCCCCTGCAGGTGGATCCTCAGCTGACCACAGCTAGGGCAGACACGGCCCCACACTGCCCGGCACACACAGCCATTTTAGGGTCGAGCTCTTTGCACAGGGGAAGATAATGCAGTCCGTATCCCAGGGGGCTGCCGTGTATTACAACAAATAACAAATATGATCCAAATGGAATGTTTGGCATTCAAAAAAAACAATACTCAGCCAGGCATGGTGGCACACGCCTGTCATCCCAGCACTTGGGAGGCTGAGGCAGGAGAATCTCTGTGAGTTTGAGACCAGCTTGGGCTGCATAGTGAGTTCAAGGCCAGCCTGAACTACATAGTAAGACCCTGTCTCAAAAAAAATCAAACGTTTAAACTCGGGTGGTATCACACCTGCCATCCCAGCACTCAGGAGGCTGAGACAGGAGGATCTCTGTATGTTGAAGGTCAGCCTGGGCTACACATCGAGACTTTGTCTCAAACACAAAACAAAAATCATCCATCCCTGCAGGGGCTTCCTGTGCACTGCCTGCTTCAGGGAGGCCGGCAGAGTTAACCTTTTTCCTCCCCGAACCCTTTTCTGCCTTGGCTCCCTGCTCCTTCCCCGAGCCCATCCCTGCCCTGCTGCTTGGCTCTGCCGTCTGGGGGTCACAGACAGCCACGCAGTCACCGCCGGAGCTCTGCACCTCTAGTACTAAGGGAGCAGGAAGACCTGAGGCTTTGCTTAGTGACCGGGACCCTTTGGGTTTGCTCCGGGCTCCCTGGCAGTCACCTCTCTCTGTCCCCACCTGCTACAGATGTCACTGAATTTCACCTTCCATTCGCCATCTTGCAGCCCTCAGAGCCTCCCCATCTCCTCCCAGTGAAGTGTGAGCCCCACTTGGAACAGAGAGCAGCATACTTTCTTTTGGGTTCTGTTTTTCTTTTTCTTCTGAGACGGGATTGCTTTGCCTTGAACTCACTACGGAGCCCAGGCTGCCTCAAACTCGCATTGATCGCCCTGCCTCAGCCTCCTAAGTGCTGGCATGGCAGGCGTGCACACTTGGAAAACCGCACAGTGCATCGCCTGCACCCTTCTCCCCTCCAGCCCTCTCCTAACTCCAGGAATCACGGTGCCCTGTTGAATTCCAGGTGCGCCAGCCAGCCCGCCTGGTGCTATTTTCTTCCCACAACTTCAGCCTTTGGGCCCTTGTGAAAATGTACAAATGCCCTTCAAATTTAAATGCATGGCCGGTGACGGGCCGTCCATCCCGAGGCTTTCTGCTTGCAGTGAGGGGCGGGGAGAAGAGAGCGAGAGTCTGCGAGACTTTTATTGACCATTGGGCCGTCCAGGAGAAATAAAATCTGGCCACCACAGAAACAACAAAGCATCTTAGTGGCCGGTTAGAGAAGGAAGAGATGCTTTAAGAAAAAAGATTCTCCTGTCAGAAAGCACTGTCCCGGGGCTCCCTGCTTGCCAGCGCCTTATTAGGCTGGGGACAGTGGAATTTCCTAGCTCAACTGGGGACGACAAAGGCTCTTTGCTCTCTTGCGTTTCTTTTTAATTTTGTCACCCTCTTGCAGTCCTCATTACCACAATCAGCAGCAAAAAGCTTCGACCGGCCATGGGTGGTGGTGCACGCCCGTCATCCTAACACTCGGGAGGCTGAGACGGGAGCGTCGCTCTCAGTTTGAGGCCAGCCAGGGCCACAGCGTGAGCTCAGGTCTCCAAGCGCCCCCTGAGCTGCAGCCCTTCCCTCTAGCAGCTCTGATGCTAATACTGCCGCTCTGTTGAGACCTCAGGAGCCTCCTGGCCCCGGAGGTCACTCTGTCCCTGCTGCAGTGTCCACTTCTCCCTAGCCTTCCTGCCCGTCCTCATCTCTGTGCACTCTGCTGAGTGTGGCCCCGGCTCTGCCGAGACACCGGGGTCCCCTGGCTGTCACAGTCACCTCCTCTCAGCTTCGCTCCTAACCTCCTGACCGTCCAGGGCCCTGGGGACCGTGCCACTGTCTCCGGGCTTTGATGTGACATCACCAGGACGATGCCTTCCTTCCAGGGAGTTTCGCTGTCTTGCAGGCAAACAGCCCAAGGGGACCTTCGTGATGAAGGGCTACAGTGTCCGGATGGCCCCGCACCTGCGCAGGGACTCCAGGAAGGACTGCTGCTTCGAGCTGACCTCCGGGGACAGACGCAGCTACGAGGTAAGAGGGACGGAGGATGTCCCGTCCTGCGGAACCCTGGCCGGTGACCTCCCTGGCCACATGCCCCTCAGCCCCTCGGCCGTGCCTTCCCCAGGGCACAGGGCCTCCTCTGTCACCGAGCTGTCCCAGATAATGTCCCAGCATGGAAAGGCCGTCTCTGTCTCTGTCCCCCAGGCCTGTCCCACTCACCTGCAGCCAGCTCCTCCACACCTCTGCTCCTGTTCCCCTTATTCCCAGCTGGTTCTCTCTCCTCAGAGCCGGGGACATAGCTCAGGGTTACCAGCACCCGCCTGGCCAGCTCAAGGTCCCGAGTTCGAGCCTCGGTACCAAAAGTAAATGAATAAATAAATTCAGAGTGGAAAATGCCCTCTCCTCCGATTCCCACCTCCCTCTCGGAAGGAGCCCTCCCACGTGGCAGGGCGGCCACACGGGTACCCGTGACAGCAGTCCCTAGGGTGACCACACAACCAAGGAAGTGTAGGATTTCACCAGAAGACGTGTCCTCGCTGTGTTCACGTCTATATTTCCTGAACCTTTACTCGCTGTATTTGCCACTCATTGTAAAATTAACTAAAACAATCAAAAATTATGGTTATGGGTAAATAATGATTTTCACCAAAAAATATCTTACATCTGTATGAAATATCCTACTCACCGGCCATTGTGATTTTATCTCAGCTTTAGTAAAGCAATGTAGTAAAACCTTTGCTAACCGATAAGCACGCTAAGGTTAATGTCAGTAACCCTCCACTCGTTTTTCCCAGCACTCAGCTGTTTGTATTGCCACAGTGTCTTCATCCTTAACTGGATAAAACGGCCTACCTCTTCCTTAGGCAATTTCCGTAATCTTTTACACTTTTAACAATTTTCCCATGGCGTGCTTTATAGCACAGATGTGTGCTGAGCATGTTTCTGATTCTGCCATTAAACTCTGATGAGGTGTTGGGCTGCTGGCACACGCCTGCCATTTCTGTACTTGGGAGGCTGAGGCAGGAGGATTGCCGTGAGTTCAAGGCCAGCCCAGGCTACCTGGCGAGCTCAAGGCCTGGCTGAACTGCATAACAAGACCTTGCCCCATCCAAAAAGGAACAAAGGATGACAATGTGCAGGACTCTTGGTTTCTCACCAGCCTGTCCTGTGGTCGGGATGCAGTTTACTTCCCTTCTCTTCTACAGGCCACTGAATTGAAACCATCCTCATGGCCTGCAGGTTCTCCCTCAGCTGTGCACGTTTGGCTTTCCATCTCACCCTCCTCTGGCCCTCAGCTCTTCATCTGTTTCTGTTTATTCCCCATGGAGCCGAGCTGCCCGCCTCCCCGCCTGGCTTCCACCAGCTCTTTATAAAACTCCAGCCCACACTGTACCGCTCCAGCGCCCCTCCTTACCCTGCCCTCACAGTAATGATAAGTGTTTCCAGTCTCCAGCTAATGCTCCAGCTGCTATTGTAGCTCAGTGGTAGAACACCTGTCTGGTCCCTGCATGAGGCTCTGGGTTCTAGCCCCAGCCCTGGGGCTAGAAAAGAAAAATACTGTCAGTATAAGTGCCCTCACGTCAGAGGGGAACTGTCTTCCTTTTTTTTCTCTTGTACACTTTTGTCAAATAAATGCCTGATGAAGGAGTAGATAATCAAATGCGCACACACGAATATAAAAACCTGGGTTTTGAAAGCTGTCATCAGCCTAGCACGGTGGTGCATGCCTCAATCCCAGCACTGGAGAGGCTGAAGCAGGAGAATCACAGGGAGAGTTTGAGGCCATCTGAGCTACATAGTGAGTTCAGGGCCAGCCTGAACTACACAGCTAGACCCTCTCTTAAACAAGCAAAACAAACAAAACTGTGTTTTCTCTGAGTATGTAAAATGGCTTTGAGTCAGCTTTTTTTTTTTAAGTATTAATCAGGCAGCGAATCTGATCCTTAAAGTTGACTCTAAAAGTCACAGGTTTCTCCCCTTGGAGCTCTCTATTAGGATTCGTGGACATTTCAGTGCAGGTGATAAATTAATTTGCTAATTTCAGTTCACAGCTGCAAGCCCAGCGGAAGCCAGAGACTGGGTGGATCAGATCAGCTTCCTGATAAAGGGTGAGTGCGGCAGGTCCCGGATGCGGAAGTCTATGCCTCCCGGAAGTGCAAGGCCGGAAGTGCCAGGCCGGAAGCTTCCCCGGGTGTTTTCTTCCGCCCTCTCTCCCCTCTCGCGTCCCCACGTGCCCCATCCCCAACCCACCCCCGCTTCTAACACAAGCAGCGCCGCGTGTCAATCAGAAGGTGAGGTCGTAGTCCAGCTGGAGGTGACCTCCGATGCCACCCCACTTCCTGAGCACCAGGGAAAGGAAATCCTGGGAGCCAGCCCTGTCCAATTTGCTGTCTCCTACCTGCCTTCCTTGTATGCTGGACAGAAAACCCCCAACATCCAGCTCCACTCAGTCACACTGGCCGGCGTCCACAGCGCTTCTAGGTTTAGTCTCAGTGGGGAGTGGAAATCTAAACTGACCAGGGCAGAGACCTGGACAATGAACACCAGCGGCTGCTTCCCAGCAACCGCACAGCGCTCCTGCCACAGGCCTGCGCCTCGGCCATCCTCTGCCGGCCACCGCTCGCTGGAGGGGACCCTGCAGGCCCTGTGGCTTCGAGCTGCGAGCTGCCTGGAGTGGTCCCTCGCCCTCTGCCCGCAGTCGGCCCTGCAACCGCTCTGCATCCGGCCCCCTCTAACCCTCTGCAAGATTTCAGGGTGAATGCCAAGGACGCGCCAGGCTTTCACGACAGAACTGCCTGCCTCACCCAGTTCTGCCATCGCTATCACAGAAACAAACGATGGCATCTGCCAGCCGCCTACGACAGAGCGGGACCAGGCACAGGCGACGGGGCACACGCGCATCTAGGTGCTGGGATTTATGCGTGTAATATACCCCTAAGTGTGTAAACCTCCATAAAAGTCAGAGCAGTGTTATTGAGCTGTACCCCGTGGTACTTTCAGACTCCTGCATTGAAGGAATTATTCATCCCAGTTTCCTTTAAAACCAACCAAATAATAAGGTTGGCTGTGAGCCGCCAACTCTGCGGCGTGTTTTCTTTGATCCCTCCCGCCTGTGAGGACTCTGACTTCACTGACAAGGGTTGCAGAATCCTTCTAGGAGCCTCCTTCTGTCCCCGAGCCCCAGGGGGCTGCATTTGCCCACCCCCACCCACTTGACCAAGGCCCCAGAGCAGGGTTTTGGGGAGCTGTGTTGCTGCTGTATTTCTTCCAACCCCTTTTTCTTCTCCAGATTTTGCCCATTTCTGTTCCTCTCTACAAGCACACTGGTCTGCAATCCTGCATTTCGATCATCGGGGAAAAGGGCTTCCTCCAGCTCAGGTGCCCTGCAAAAGCTACCGTGGTCACCCTGGTTCCCTGTACCCCAGAGACACCAGGTCACAGGCCCCTGGCTTTTCCCCTCCAGGCCTGTTTTCCTGCTTGTGCCTGGTTTCACAGTCACCCTTTCAGGGCTGCTTCATCCAGCCTCATCTTCCTATGAGGAAGGCTCCATGCTGATGGTGTACACCGGGTGCAGCCCTCCCTCCTGTCCCCCAGGCGGCATTATACATAACCGCTCTTACCCTGGCATCACATTGTCCTCGATGCCTCTTAGCCTCATCCTCCTCCTCCTCCTCCTCCTCATGCCTCTCTGCCCCACCCCACCCTGATTCACCTTTGTCTTGGCCTCTGCAGATCTGAGCTCTTCAACCATCCCCTGTGAAGAAGAGGAGGAAGCAGAGGAGGAGGAGAAGGGAGAGGAAGCGGAAGAGACATATGATGATATCGATGGCTTTGATTCGCCAAATTCTGCTCCCCAGGGAAGACCCGTGACCTTGCCTGGGAGCCTGAGGACCAGGGAGTCCACAGAGGACAGGGACGAGGACATCTATGAAGTCCTGCCAGGTGAGGCACTGCTCCTTCTCATGTCTCTTCCTAAGCAGGCACAGTGGCACACGCCTGTCGTCCTAGCACTCGGGAGGCTGAGGCAGGGGGATCTCCAAGAGTTCAAGGCCAGCCTGGACTACAGAGCGAGACCCTGTCTCAAAAGAAAAATCAAGGCTGGTCCGATGGCAGTGGGTTATCAGAACTTATTAACATTAGTGTCACTAAAGTTGGTATACCACCCCCCCCACTGCTAAATTTGACTGGCTTTAAAAATAAAAAAATCAAAAAAGCAACCTTGGACCCAGTGGGCAAATAAAACCTTCAGAGGAAGCCACATCTAAATGTCGCTCTGTGAAGGAGAGAACACAGGGACACAGGATTCCACTAGAGAGGGCCTGGGAGCAAGGTGAATCTTTCCTCTGTGTGGCCCAGAGATTGCTGACACGAGTCCAGAGGTCAAAGGCTTGGAATAGGCCTGCCAGCTTTCCTGGCTCACCGTGAGTTCGGGGCTGAGTCGTAACTCCAGTTACGACTTCTTTCTAGCGGAATGTTGAGAAGGACAGAAAGTTGCCTCTGAAGTCTGAAGGGTTTCAGAGCCAGGCCGTGGAGTGCATGCCTGTCATCCTAGCACTCAGGAGGCTGAGGCAGGAGGGTCATGAGGTCAAAGCCAGTTTGGACTCCATAGGAGGACTCTGCCTCCAATAACAGCAACAAAGCATGAGGCAGACCTACATGATGGGTCTCTTTTCTCCCCACAGCAGGATAAACCAGCGTCACAGAAAACAGTCCTGGGGCATCCACACAGCACAGTTCGGGTCAGGCAGTGGAAACCACACCCAAGCCTTTAACTGTGCATGAGGGATGCTGAGCTTCCACCCCATTCTCAAAAGAGCTGCTGTGGACATTTGCCAGGGGTCAGCACTCTGCTAAGATCCTCGAGTTAAGCCCAGATTTATAGCAATATAAAGCTCCATCTCAGAAGGGCCGCAGAATCTTTAACGCTCAGGCCCCTGATGTGGGGCTGGTGGCTGAAGGCATCGTCAGTGGGAAACTTGGATTTTAAGGCTTCCTAAGAGCAGTCAGAGTCTCCCCCCTACCCGGCTTCTAGATTCTTGTCTCCTCTGGGATCAAAGCTACTTTACTGGGACCCGAGTCAAGGAGAAGGGCTGTGAAGGCAGGCGTGGAGATACACACCTGTCAGCCCAGCACTCAGGAGGCTGAGGCGGGAGGGTCGCCATGAGCTCAATGCTAGCCTGGTCTAGACAGACCCTGTCTCAAAAAACCAAAGAAAAAGAGAAAAAAGAAGCAGCAGTTCTGTGGCTGTGCATCCCTACCCAGGAGAATAGGCTTTCCCCAGCCCTTCCAGCTTCTGCCAATCCCTTCCCCGGTCTCTTTTTGTTGTGTTTTATTATGCAAATGATATCTTGGTGGAGGTCGGCCGTTTCTTGTGTCTGAAGTTGAAAAAAAATGATAATTTCCTCAGCAAGTCATCGTCGTTAATGAAGTTTTACAAAAACAGATACAACCAAAGGAAAATAAAATTTCACAGGTGATAAATTTTTCCAATTTCCCTGGCAGAATTCGATAGGATTGTTAAATTAAGAGTGAAGGTGTCTGTTAGGAAGCAGTGAGCGGTGATGGGTAATTTTATAGAGTGGAAAATTGAATCAAATTGCAACATTAAAACACAGCTCCTCTGAGAATCTTCCCGCTCACGGCCTGCTCCGCCCCAGCAGCAGGGTGCGGAGATGGATCTCATTCCTACCGAGAGCCCAGAGAGGAGAGGTGCTCCCTGGCTCAGCCTGAGCCTTCCCAGTGAGCTCCCGCAGCCTCCTGCCCAGGCCTGGGGACCCTCCAGGTGCCACTCCACTTGGGGTCACGGCTGTGGAAGAACACGCTGGGGAATTCCCACTCAATCGCCTTGCCTTTGTGGGGTGCAAAGAAAAGGTCTTATTATGCCTGGCGGGGTGGTGCCTGCAATTGTGGACTCAGGAGGCTGAGGCAGGAGGATTGCTGAGAATCTGAGACCTGAACTACATAGCTAAACCCTGTCTCAGATAAAAGGAAGGGAGGAAGGAAGGAAAGGAGCCGGAAGGAGAGAACTGATACAGATGTAGAACAAAGAGAAAGAGCCACTGAAAATGAGTCTGGAGCCATCCCTTTACTCCATGTGGGACAAAAAAATATAACTGGCTTCTTGATAAGCCTGTTCCTGCCCCACTCCACTGCCCAAGCTCCTCCCCTCAGGGGTACAGGGCCTTGCAGGGCACCGGGAATCTTCCCAACGCCCTGCACGGCGGAGAATCGCCCGCCCCGGCCTACAGATGCATCTGCCCCCTCCAAGAAGCCATCAACCACTGAAGTGAGGGTGGCCTCGCCGTCAGAAAGCCAGGGCCCCTTTCTGCACAGTTAGTGCAATAGCAGCTGGCTGGCCTCCCTGTGTCGCCAGAGGACAACACTGTGCCTGCCCAGTTTCCTTCCTTTTGCCATGGCAGATCCTCGAGCCCGTACACATCCCATCACCTGGCTCACAAGAGACCACCAACTAGCTGGGCTGGGGGCGCACAGCTGTATCCCAGCACTCTGGGAGACTGAGGCAGGAGGAGCACAAGTTCGAACCCAGCCTGGACAACTTGATGGATTTAGCAAGACCCAGCCTCAAAATACAGAAGGGAGTGGAAAAGCAGCAGTGGGGGTGTGTGACTCGCAGCCCACGAGGACCACAGTGGCAGGCTGAGGGCGCAGGGTGCGCTCCCTGCCCTCTCTGGCTCGCAGACCAGGGGGCAATGGAAGGTGACGCTAGAGGGGCACGGCCAGGGCCTGGGATCTGAAGTCTGTGAGCTCTCCGCACGGAGCCCCCGCAGGCAGGGGGCGCTGGGGAGGTGCTGGCTGTGGGAACGCGGTGGCCGCCTAGCAGGAAGTGCCACCTTCTTGAAGAGCTGGGGGACCACTAGTTCCAGGTGGGCGTTGGCAACACTGAGAATCCTGAGCCCATGGAAAGTGGAGCTGGTTTTACTGTGAGGCCGGGTGCTGGGGGGGGACACCCACCTCGAGGCCTGCCGGTGGCACTAGCACCACCTCCCCATTGGCAGTGGCAGCAGCAAGGTCGTCTGGCACTGTTTTCATGACAGCAGGCACATGCACTTTGTGAAGGATACTTTCTCTCTTTTTTGGATTTTCTTGAGACTGTGTCTTAAATGTAACCTTATGCTGACCTTGAACTCGTGGTGATCCTCCTGCCTCAGCCTCCCCAGTGCTAGAATAGCAAGTGTGCGCCACCACGCCAGCCTGGGAAGGACGCTTAGCATGGCGACCCTTCTGCGAAGCCTGGCCTTTGAGATGGGGTCTACACAGCCTACATAGTCTCCGTTGGGAAGCTTCCCACCTGGAGTGTAATTTACATGGAGAGACATATGGAGCACATACATGTCAATAAAAAATATATTTTTCCTCAAGTAAAGCAATATCTGGGTCATCAGACTCAATCCGCCCCATCCCGTTCATCATGGGATAATTAGCATTTGCTGTCCTGTCCCTGAGAGGGAAAAAAACTAAAACACTCAGAGTTTTCAGCCACACCCCAAAAATGTTAGTCTGGAAGAATAGAGCTTCTTTGGCTGGGGATTTAGCTCAGTGGCATAAGCGCCTGCCTGGCAAGTGTGAGATCATGAGTTCAATTCCCGGTACCGGGAAAAAAAAAAAGAATAGAGTTTCTGGATGAGCATCCTTTGGGATTTCTGAAGCCCTGCACCGAGACTAAAGGGACCCTTCACTTTTGGGGATCTCACCAGCCACCGATTAACCTGCAAGGATCTCCACAAAGTAACGCCCAGGTTGCATGTGGGTGCCAGAGGCCGGAGAGCCCTTTCTCAGCTCCCCAAGGCCCCCTGAGGCCGCCTGCGACTCCAAGTGCCCGTGAAGCCAGCTTTCATCAGCTTGAGGTTTGGGCCTCAATGCTGGAACCCAGGAAGTTGCCCAAGGGCATTGCAGAGCTGGCCCCAGGCCTGGTAGCAGCCAGGATAACAATAGCTGTGTCCTCTGGAGAGATCCCAGAAGATGAGGCACTGGCTGTGTCCTGAAGCTGCTGCAGCCACCAGGTCACTTTAGAATAAAGCCCAGAACTGCGTTGTTTATGGTCAGAATGAAGCGGAAGCATTGTGTGATGTTGCCCTCGGTGGCAGTGCCCAGAGCCCTGGGAAGGGGCAGGGGTGGGAGAGGAGAGAGAGAACAATACAGTGACAGGGACCAAGCCGCCACACCCCAGGCCTTCTCTCCTCGCCCCAGCCCAGCCCCTCAGGTTCCCCAGCCAGCAGCAGCCGGAACCAACCCAGCCAGGTCTCCTACCCTAAGTGGCCCCAATTTGAGCCCATGAACCCCACCACCACCGCCACCACCACTCGCACCCCTTCCCGAGTCCCCCCAGCACTCCATCCAGCTAAAAAAAAGCTTTATTTCAACCCTGATCTCCACCATCTATGTCACGTCTTTCTCCCCAGTGCATAGATGCTCAGTGATTATTTGTGAAATTAAATTCAGAGCATTCCGAGTGTTGCCATTAGCACAAATTGGGCTTAGGTGTGGTCCATCCAGGTCGAACCACGCAGTCAGGATGCAAAGTATTTGAAGTAACAATGAGAGCTGAGCTGCGGTCAGCCTCCTGCTTGTATTTTCAACGTTGTCTAAAGAGGGCCAAGGAGCCGGGTGGGCTGTGCCCCACACCTGTCCTCTCAGCACTCGGGAGGCTGAGGCAGGAAGATCGCCTGGGGTTCGAGGCCAACCTGGGTTCCATGGTGAGTTCAAGGTCAGCCTGAACCACAAAGCAAGACCCTGTCTCCAGAAATAAATAAAAGACAAGAGGGCCTCTGGCATCCTTTCTGCCCACTTGCTCTGCGCTCCCGAGTCTGTCTGTTCTTGGCGCATGTGCCGCCAGGGCAGATGTCTCCTTGACATCTGGTCCACACTGATGCGGTTGGTGCTCCTCCAGCTTCAGTCAGTCCGCGCTGTCTGGGAGTCGTTCTCTCTGCTGCTGGGGCCGCCATGTCGCAGGGCCCTCAGAGCAGCCCTTCGGGGAGGAGCCAGGTGTCGAGAGGAGCAGAAGCGGCTCCCCTCTGGCCCTCCCGGGTGGCTTTGGTCCGGTTGTTCCAGCTCCTCATTAGTGAACCTGACCTTGTGCCAGGATCGTTGATTGAAATCGACTCCCCGGCTGCCCGCTGTGCTTGCTGGGCTAACCCAATCTTCTTCCACGGCTTTCCCCCGCGAGATGAGATATTTGGGGATCAAGTAGAGCATTTAATGTAATAAGTGGGCAGCAATCTTTAGAGGTTAATTTGTTTAAAACCTGTGTAAGGTTGGGGTCCCATATGCCCTGTGAGGACCTAGGACCATAATAATCTATTACTATTTGAAGTTGAGCTGGCACGTGAATTTCAATTCTCCCTCAAAAAGAGATGTATTCCCCAATCCATGTAATGAGAACCCTCCCGATAATATTCTTAGGACTTCAGCGAGCTCTTTAGCCTAAAAATACATCTGAAAATAACCTTTTAAAATTACAGTCTCAAAAAAATAATGTTAAATTAAATTAAAACCCCTTGTGACAGATTCACAAAAAATAAGAAATGTAGCCGGCTGGTTGACCGCCTTTTTTCAACCAGAAGGACTTTTTTACGAGGATGGTGGCGCATGCCCAGAATCTCCAGCCTCAGGAAGCTGAGCAGAGGGTCATAGAGAACTGAAGGCCACCCCAGGCTGTGTTACGACACCCTGAGTCACACAGCAGCAACAACAGCAAAGACTTCCTTTTCCCCTGTTGTCTTGTAGTCCTGATTTGGGAGCTTGAAAGATGCCAGCTCGAGTCTGGGGAGGACCTGAAATAAATTGTTTGCCTCTCTCTTTGGAGCCAGGAAGGCACTTAGAGGGGCGCCAGCACAACCAGGTGTGGAAGGTGCTTCCGGTCACTGTGACAGCATTGTCCTCAGGGTTTTCACCGCCGGGCTCCTGGGCCTGAGCCCACTCCCTGTATCGTGGGAACTAGAGAGAATGGATGTGGGGACTGAGGGTCCCCCTGCTTTTTTTTTTTTGAGGCCAGCTGGCTTTTTTGAACTCACTGGATAACTCAGGCTGGTCTCGAACTCATGGCAATCCTCCTGCCTCAGCCTCCTGCCTCAGCCTCCTGACAATCATCCACCACCACACCCAGCTGAGACTTTCCCTGTATGTGTCACCTCAAAACCTAGTGATGTGGCACGCTCTGTAGCCAGCAGTTCTCCCTTCTAGGTGACCACAGTGGAAATCAGAATATCGGGCTGGAATCGAACTGCACAGAACACATTTGTATTTTTTCCCATTTTTGTACCATGACTGCATTAAAGTGCTGCTGCCTGAAAGGGTGAAGGAATCAAGTTTGCCTTTTCATTTTTTATCATTGCAAATACATTTACATTCTCCTCTTTTTTTTACAAATGCAAAGAGCAGGCCAGCCACTTTCAATAATTTATTTTAAAATCAATGCTAATGAGGTTGTGTCTCGTCAGCGGGCGAGTTTTACAATAAAGTCTGATTTATTTAGAAAAGATCTTCGGCGCAGCTTCCCAGCTAATGGTGGCGGGAAGGAGGTGCAGTGGCAGGCCCAGTGACCCTCCAGCTTCGGATCCAATTTGTAATTCACAGCGGAGAGCTGACCCAATTTACATTGATTAGAATGGAGAGGCAGAGGTGGAATCAACCTCTCTGCAGAAGGGGCTTCGTGATGGAGATTTGATATCAGCCAAAGCGCTGCTCCCAGCTGGAGCACCTGGGCGTCCCAGCACGAGGGTGGACCACTCTCATGCTAATGGCTTCCATCCCATAATATTAGCCCCGAGTCCAGAAGGAGAAGGGACCGAGCAGAGGAAGGAAGTGGAAGAGGAATGAGAGGACGACGGTGTGCAGAGATGGTGTTTCACAGGGCTGAGTCCAGCAGGGTCTCTATCCACGCTCTGTGGTCTCACAGCTCCGTGCCTCCCGGGGATCTTGGGGAGCACTGCAGGTGAGCTCACACCTGTCTGGTGAGGCCTGGCGTGGTGGTGCACACCTGTCATCCCAGCACTCAGGAGGCTGAGGCAGGCAGGTCCCCATGAGTTCGATGCCAGCCTAGGCTTCATAGTGAGATCCTGTCTCATAAAGACAGAGAGAGAAAAATAAATAAAGGCAAAGAGGGCCTCATTGGAGATAAAAGCGGGTTTTTATCTTAAAAACATATGCTGAGTGAAGTGTTCTTGAAGAGGGTGTGTTTACTAATGCTGACGATTTGTCCCCTCAGATGAAGAGCTTGAGCTAGAAGAGGACGAGCATGAGGCTCCACGGAAAGGAGGTACGGGCACTCAGATGCCAGCCGGGCTGGGACGTGGGGGCCTCCAGCAGGAGAAAGAGTTGGGTTCCTGCCTCAATGAAGAACAGGCTCATGCCGGGGGGGCATGGTGGTGCCTGCCTGTCATCCCAGCACTCAGGAGGGATGTTAGCTGGCCCTCTGCTTCCCAAGCCTCCTTCTGGACTGGATATCTAGTCCTTAAAGTCAGCAGGGATGCTGCTGGCTGCCAGGGCCACAGAAGACACATCATCCACCCGTATCACCCCAGTCAGGACTGATTTAGGCTGGCCTTGAGCTCACTTTGTAGCTCAGGCTGGTCTTGAACTCTCAACAACTCTCCTGCCTCAGCCTCCCGAGTGCAGGGATTAGTGGCGTGAGCCACCACACTCAGTATCCCCTACACCATTTTTTCACTCACTGCAGGAGATGATCTTAGTGAAGGACCTAAATTTGTGAGGTCCAGCTTCTCCCAAGGGTGAGAGGAGATGGCAGAGGCCGAGTCAGGAGTCACGGGCAAAGAGGCTAGACGTGGTGGCACACACCTGACATTCCAGCACTCGGGAGGCTGAGGCAGGAGGATCGCTGTGCGTTCCAGGCCAGCTGGGCTCCAGAGTCCCTGTCTCCAGAAAAAATACTGTTCAGTCTCCGCCCTCACTTCACTTCCTCCTTCTGCCATGCTCTGAGTTTGTATCTAGGAGGTGAGAAAAGTTTGATTTCTACATTGTTCCAGCAGGTATAATTGAAGTAGGAATTGTTTAAAAACAGGAAGAAAAAGGAACCCTTCTGTTCTCCTGCTTCCTGACTCCACATAGGTGGTGTTAAAGTGTAGCAGTTCGAAAGACGTTCCCGGTTTATACTCTCACAGTTTATACTCCGTTAGGGTGATTAGTGACTTTCTGATTAAAAAACAAGAGGGCTTTTCGCTCTGTCTGCAGAATCCAGGCAGGGATTTTTATTATTGTGTTCACTTATTTATTTATGGGATTTATACAGCGCCTTTCCTCTGGAAGAGCTATAGAAACAGCAACAAATATATACCACCCGAATGTCACCACTTAATTTTACAGCAGGAAAATATAGGGGCCTGGAGGAAGGCAGGAAGCCTCCTCGTGAAGGCTTTTAAAAGGCTGAGAGCCCGGCATGGCAGCACACGACTGTGACCCAGCCCTCGGCAGGCTGAGGCAGGAGGATCACATGAGTGTCAGGCCAGCTGGGGGACAGTAAGAGGTGAGGACAGGCAGCTCTGGGATGGTGGGACTGCTTCAGTCGGGCTCAGACAAGCTAGACAGGCAGGTTCGCGTCGTTCACTTTCCCTCAGGTTGTGTGTGTCTTTGGAGGAGAAAGAAGAGTTAAAGCAGATGAGGCCTCCCATGCTTGCTGTGCAGCCTGTGGCTGGCAGGGTTCCCATGAAAATCCGGGTTCTTTCCTCCAGCGCCTCCCGGCCACTGTCCCTGATGGGACCGCGGCGTGTTTAAGGGCAGCTAGCTCTTATCAGGAAGCCGAGGAAGGAAAGGGACTCATTCTGTCCTTATCGAGTGGTTATGACCCCGTGTGATGTGATTCCTTTTATTTTATTCTGTTCCCTGGAAAATCTATCACAGCCTCGTAGTATTGATTGTTCAGTCTCTAAAGAGCGTGGTTACAGCCTGCCTGCTGGTAACAGGGTTATTTTAATGAGTGATTCTTCAACACCTCCCATTTTCTCTAATTTCCAACCCATCAGCCTAACCACCTGACACGAAGGGAGTTTATCTTCCTTTCTTCTCATGCAAAGGTGACGGCCAGGCTGGGCGTGGTGGCACATGCCTGTCGTCCCAGCACTGGAGAGGCCGAGGCAGGAGGATCGCTGGGAGTTGGAAGCCAGAAGCAGCACCAGGTCTCAAAACAAAACAAAACAACACAAAAGAATACGCAGTCACACCAGCCTGGCCTCCGTGGCAGGAGTAATGATCTCAAAGAGTTTGGCATGGAAAGACAAACGCTCTGCAATTAGTATCAGAAAAAGAAAGTAGCTCTGATGTTTTTAACCTGCCTGCCGCTCTGCCTGTGATACTTTATTGGCTTGAAGCTGAGCTTCCCCTGCAAGGGATGAAGGAAGTAAGACCCCGCCCAGCACCCCTTTCCTCTCCAGGAAAAGCCGTCTTCAGTCCGCTAGCAGTTTAAGTGCAGCGATCCACCATTAGCTTCCGCATCACCGTAATCGTTGTTAATTGTGCTAACTGTTTTAGTTATTAGTGGTGTCATTACTGCTCTCGGTGCTCTGTCTGTTTTATGCTGAATATATTAGTGCGTTGCTTTCGAATTGCCAGGCTTTATTTAGTGTGGAGTCACATTTTTTTTTTTTTTTTTTGGCGAGACGTTGAGAAATGCTGGCATTAAGCTTTATTCTTTTGTTTTCCCTCCAAATGGACAGACTGGAAAAAAAATAATTAGATGGAATAATGTCCTCAAAATGAGAATGAGGGTGTTTGGAATTAATTAAATGGTCAGAATACTGCACTGTCCTGGTCTCAGGCTGCTGCCAGGGAAATGTAACCCCACAGGAACCCGAATGAATGCCACCGCAGAGGAAGCCTCGATCTCAGGCACCTGATTGATAGAGTTATTTCCAAAAGATGAAAAATATTAACAAAAGATGAGAAATATAAAATATAAAGCGGCCTTTATTCTGAGAACACGGAGAGAGATGACCGGCAACCCCCACCGCTGGCGTCCGGCGATCTCTCCGGCGGACACGCGGCGCGGGGGCCTGTAAATAACCTCGGTTTGGGGTGGAACCTAAGGCGGGCATTAGGGATACACAGGTAGCCCATTGGTCCTAGGTTTGGCGCCATATGTAAATTCCCAGGGGCGGGAAGATGGCGTCACAGGTAACTTCCTAGGGGCAGGGCAAGATGGGGCTTCCTGCTTCCAGTTGTGGCTTTCCTGGCTACAGTGTCCTGTCTGGGCCAAACCTTTCACTGATCCCTCTCACCTCTGAAGAAATCAGAGTCTAATCCCAGGATTCGGGAGGCCGAGGCAGGAGGATCCCTGAATGTTGGAGGCCAGCCTGGGCTCCATAGGGAGCCCTTGCCTCAAAAAACAAAAACAAATTAGCGACTCAGGGTCCACATGTGGCTGCCGGTCTGAAGGACAAGCCAAGTAAGTTTAGGGGAAGGACGAATTCACCCTGCAGACCCTTTCTGGGGACAGGCTTTGGGACTGAAGCCCTCCTGGGCTTCCCTCTGCCCTTCTCTAGGTTGCTAAGGACACTCAGCAGGAGACGTTTCTTAACTAAAATTGCCATTTCAGAGAAGCCTTCCCTGGCCCCTGGACTCTATTAAATTCCTTACTGTGAGGGGCTGGAGGTTTAGCTCAGTGGCATAAGTGCCTGCTTGGCAAATGCGAGGTCATGAGTTCAATCCCCAGCACTTAAAAAAAAAAAAAAATGCCTTACTGTGTGCAGCAGCCTCGACCCCTTAGCTGAGACGATGCAATCCCAAAGCAATAAAGATTCGCGTGATTATGTTCCAAGCTGCCTCTGCCACTGGATGGCCTTGGGAGCAGGGTCCCTGGGTGTGATCCCTGATGCCTAGCGGGGCGTCAGGAGAGTTAGTGAGGTTGTAGGCACACGGGCACATAGACGCCTGCCATATAGGTTACCCTGGGAATCTAATACAAGGCACCCGGGAGTGGTGGCACATGGCTGTCATCCCAGCACTCAGGAGGCTGAGGCAGGAGGCCAGCCTGAGCTCCATAGAGATTTCAAAGCCAGCCTGGACTACGTAATGAGACCCTGTCCCAGAAAACAAAACAGTCCCTCCTCAGTGGTTTCCTAAGCACCTCCACCTAACAGAAGGTCCAGTCTTTTCCCAGAGTTTGGCCTTCTGTTCTGATTGTTTTTCTTGCTTGCTTGCTTGCTTCTAGTCCCCGTGGCCCCTGTTCTTGGTGGGACTCCTGGAGTCCTGCACCCAGAGGCCTTTTCTATCTTTACTTGTTCTCGGTTTTCCTCCCCATGACCCACTGCGTTCTCTCTTCACATAGGTGTTTTCCAGATGATTTCCCAGGTCCTGTATACCTAGCATCAAATCCCTTTTTGTTTTTTGGTACCAAGGATCGGACTCATGACCTTGAACTTGCCGGGCAGGTGCTTATGCTGCTGAGCTAAACCCCCGGCGCTCAAATCACTTTTTACAGATATTCCTGAAAGGTCCCCAGGGTCCTAGGAATTGTCCTACATTTGGGCACATTATGGGGAGCAGGACCTCACAGTGACTGTCTGCTAGGCAAAAAAATCCGGTGTTTTGTTTTTTGTTTGTTTTTGTTTTTTGAGACAGGGTCTCACTTTGTAGTTCAGGCTGGCCTTGGGCTCACTGTTAGCTAAGTATGACCTCAAACTCAGTGATCCTCCTGCCTCAGCCTCCCGAAGTCCAATCTTCTTCTTATTCAGAAACAGCAAGTGAGGATTTAAAAGTCCATTCTTATAAAAATGATTCTCTCTACCATAGATGAATCCATGAAGACTATGGATGTCGATTTATTTCTCATTCCTATATTTAGTCACAATAGTAGAACTATTTATAATTTCATTACACCTGGAAATGCGTGATATATGTCTGAGAAAACCAGCTCCACTTCTCGTTCATGCACCGATAGCCCCAAAATACGCGTTTTGCCTTTGCGATACTTAGCGTTTTCCTCCCCACGTTTCCTCCAAGCAGGTTCTTAGCTCCGGGGCTAACGCTTGCTCTGCAGTTGTTTCCTCTGCTTCCTCTGCAACTCTCCCTGCAAGGTGAACATCTGTATGTGTGACGGGTTTACTTGGTTCCCTTGTCAATCTTGACCCAGTAGTTCTCTCTCTCTCTCCTTTTTTTGCTTTGCGGGTGAGACAAGGCGTCACCCTGTAATCCAGCCTGGCCTTGAACTGTGAAGCCCGGCTGAGCTGGAACTCAAAGCGATCCTCCTGCCTCAGCCTCCTGAGTGTCGGGATTACAGGCCTGTGCCACCATGCTGGGCTTGTTTTGTTTTTGTATTTAAGATTCCTTCCAAAGATCTTTCCCAGAGACCCACAGGGTCTCTGAGCCTTTATTCTTTGAATTGCTCATAAGTTAGGAACAAGTAGGGAAAAAAGCAAATAGCGCCAGGCCCGCTGTGCCCCGCTTTCCTCTTGCCCCAAGTCTCTGTCTTCAGAAACCTGCTAATAAAGGAAATAAAGGGACGGTGGGGGTGGTACAACCGAGTCCCCAGAAGCTACTGAAACTTCACTGCAAGCCGGGACCTGGTCTGTCATGCAGCCTCCCAGGGTGGGTGCGGGTCTCCAGCCCGGTCCCAGGGCCACCTGAGGCCCCGCACGCAGCTCGGCCCAGTGGACATTGGCTCCCTTGTCACCCACATCCCCTGGCCCCTTGCCCGCTTCACCCTCCACTGCTGACCTTTCCGGGTGGAGGGGATCAATGGGAACCCCTGACCTAGGGATAGATGGCTGTCCTTTGCCACCTAGGCCTGCGGAGGAAGGAGGCCAGTAAATCTCCCTGGTGCTTCTCAGCTCCCAGCTCGGTTTGTCATCTTCTGCCGCTTTCATTTTTAATGCAGAGCGCTTCACTTTCTGTCCCCCGGGGGCTTGCAGATAAATCTCAGCAGAGGAGAGGCGCTGGCAGTGCGCCAGCCCACCCGGAATTCGCGGGTAATAGATGAGGACCCCTCCCCATTCTCCCTCCCCCTCCTCCCCTCCCCCTCCTCCCTCCCCCTCCTCCCTCCCCCTCCTCCCCTCCATCTAGAGCCCGGATGCCCCCACCCCCACCCCCGCCCATCTTTACCGGTGATGACCTCACTGGGCATCTGAGTGGGAAGAGCCCGGATGATGCCCCCGTGTCACAGAGCAGGCCACGCTGCCCGCAAAAGTGCACACTGTGAACAGGCAGAAGCTGGGGGCTCAGTCCACTCCCCGGTGCATGAGGAAGCGGTGCCCGGACCAATCAGACGCTGGATGCAGGGAATCTGGTGGGAAAGCGCTTTGCGTGGCTTATTTATAACAAGCCGCCTGAAAAATCACCTGCCCGATTTTCTTTTATTAATAAATAAAGATTCCTAGGTTGTTGAACAGCATCCTACTAGGGGTGATCTGTAAATATTTAATGTTAGTTAATGATCTCCGTCTCCCATAGTGCTTTGCTCGCGCCCAGCGGCTCCATCTCCCCTGGACCCCCCACCCCTGAATCTTGGGCTTGCTGGGGGCCGGGTCAGACCCCCCAGTTTCCTGCCTCAAGATGAGGCTCCTTAGGGAAGGCCGGGTCCTAACTGCGCTCTCTTCTCTCTGGTCAGTGGACTACGCCAGTTACTACCAGGGCCTGTGGGACTGCCACGCTGACCAGCCGGAGGAACTGGCCTTCCAGCGTGGGGACCTCATTCGCATCCTGAGTAAGGTACAGATGTGGGCGTGGGGCTTCACCTCAAGGTGGACTTGTTTCTTGTTTGCACTGAAGGCCGAAGCCAAGGCCTTCATGCTGAGCTACAGCTCTCTCCGCATCACCACCCTTGTTTCTCACAACACGGTCTCACTAAGTTGCCAAATCGTCAGACTGGACTTTAACTTGCAGTCTTCCTGCCTCAGCCTCCCAAGAGCGCTGGGGTTACAGGTGTGCACCCCTACACCCAGCTGGTCTTCCTACCTGCAGTGAAGCAATCTCCAAAAGTGGAATTATTGATGCTATAACCCGTTTGTGTGTCACATGGCCCCCCTCACCGACTCAGCCCCGTTTTATTTATAATTGCTAGGGGAAATTTTCATGGAACATTCACGCTCAGGAATCCATTTGCAAATTTAAAATTACAATTGACCTAACCCTAAAATTCTTTTTTTTTTTTTTTTAATCTTTTTCCTTTTTATCGGTACCAGGGATTGAACTCATGACTGCCTGCTTGCAAGGCAGGCACTTATGCTGCTGAGCTAAGTCCCCAGCCCGACCTAACCCTAAAATTCTATTCATCAAGCCAGGTGTGGTAGTACACACCTGAATTGCAGCACCTGGGAAGCTGAGGCAAGAGGATCACCATGAATTCAAGGCCAGCCTGGGCAAGACCCTGCCTCAGAAAAAAAGTTTATCAAAATGTTCTCTTTTTCAAGGACTGTGATATTTAAAGGGCATTACTATGCGCGTAATTCATCATATAATCCCACTGAGAACGGGTACCTGCCTTATTCCATTCATAGATAAATGAGCCTGTAATCTAATTACCTGAGGGGAGGAGTCGCACCCAGGTTAACCAGCTGCTCTGAGAGTGGATCCCGGGAAGATGCAGAATCCAGCTCCACCACACTAGCCGGAGAGAACTGCATCTCCTTTTCAATCATAAACTCATCCCTGACTTAGCAGGGCCATCTTGCAGACAACAGTGTTGATCAAAAGGACCAGGGGTTTTTGGGTTTGGTTTTCAATGCAAAAGCCCTCAGGTTATCCCCAGACCTGTCTTGGGGGAGGGGGTAACTTCTCATCCATTTTTGATGTGAAAAAGATCCCAGACTCATGGGCTACAGTTGGAAGGATCTGGAAGCATCTCCTTGATAAAAAAAAACAAAGACCTCCCGTATCCCCAGGCAGGCCAGGATCCCAGGTCCTGCTCCGCAAAGAATTTATTAAAAGCCCTCCCAGTCAATATCTACAAACATCTTTTTGAAATAGGTACAATCTGCTCTTTAATTGCTGACTATGTGAATTCCATAAAAGCAAATCGAAAAGCCATTGTGTTATTAACCCACCCCGTGCCGTATATCCTTTGGATGTTAGGAGCAGCTCAAGAGTCTGTCTGGCTTTGAAATATAGCGGAAGCTCCTTAGAAGACAGACCGGGCCTGACCTAAAGAGCACCTTCCAGGCCAGGACTAAACACAGGCCTAGCCCTCCGCAGGGGAAGAGGTGCCCCAGACCCCACAGAGGGAAATCCCTCCCCCCCCACTTCTAGCACTTTCCGCTGGATGCCTAGCTCAGCACCACCTCTGTGCCACATCTGCGCAGCTCCAGGGCACCAAAAATAAATAGGGATGGTCGCCAGCCGCAGATCGGTAATTCACACGCCCGACAGCGAGGTGCGGTGTAATGGAGTCTGTGCGCTCCCACCCTGCACCCGTATAATGAGCCGCCGCTCAGGTGTGACGGCTGGGTGCGCAGAGCCCAGGTGAACAGATGAGCCTTTGCTCTGGAGGGTGCCTGGGGGAGGGAGGGCGCAGAGGCAGGCTGTCTGCCGGCTCTCTGTCATGATGATTCTGTTTGTTTTGGGTGTCTTCCGCCTTTGTTAATGGATTCTCACTGGGGGTCCCTGTGCTCTGGCTGGCTAGCAGGGGCTGTGGGCGACCTGCCCTGCAGAGCCACAGCCACAGAGTGCCCTCCCTGTGCTTACCCCGCTGTGGTACACCATCCTGGAGAAGCTGAAGGAGCCAGCCTCCCCGGGTTTGTTTTGTTTGTTTGTGAGTGTGTGTGTGTGTGTGTGTGTGTGTGTGTTAAGCAGCCTCTCTTCTCTTCTCCTCCTCCCTTACTAAATATTTAATATTTAACAGTTTCATTCAGTAAAAGGCGAACTTGCTGCCCTGGTTCTATCAGCTTCTTTCTTCACCCTTCTAGAAAGTTCTAAGTCCATTTCCATCACTTACTTTGGTTAACATTACATTTTGTGTGTTTGGGAGGGTTGGTTTTGGTTTTGGTTTTAAGACAAACCTGGGCTCTCTATGCAGCCCAGGCTGGCCTCAAACTTGGCAGCAATCCTCCTGCCTCAGCCTCCTGAGTGTTACAGACATGCACTACCATGCCTGGCTCCATTTCCTCCTCCCAAAGCCCCCTCAGCTGGACCCCTATCCACGTTGCTACTTCCTGTGCAGTGAAAAAGAAAAGCAGAGAACCTAGGCACTCCGTGGACTTTTCCTTTACAAAGCCTAATCACAGTTCACGGAGATCTCAGACTGGGTTCACCCCGATTCTATCACCTAGCTCAGAGAGCGTCCTAAGACACCACAGCGACTTCAGCGACCACCTGCCCACGCAATGGCCTCTAAAAGCACCCGGGAACCACTTCCGACTGATAAAGGAGGAGGCCTTGCAAACCATCCCCAGCACTCCTGTCTCTGGAATCATCTTCATGTGCATCTTAAACTCAGCCCAGTCAGTCAATGGCTCCCTTTTTTTGGAGTTAATCACCCTCAGCAGCCTGCCTATCTCATCGGGAAGGCTGGAACCAGCCCAAGCCGAGTTTAGTGCAAACAGACAGTGTCACCAAAGCCTGGTGTTCTTTCTAGCCCACAGCACCATGGTCCATCGAGAGAGGGGGCCGTGTAGGCGCCCGCAGCGGGGCTCCTTTCCTGAGCTACACAGCTGACTGGGTGCAGACTGGGTCGCCTCCTCACCGAGGCACCTCCGCCTCTGTGTTCCCCATCTGACCACGATGGCCCGATACTGCACAACTGCCAGAGAGCTGGCGCCCAGAAATTGGCCTGCCCAGCTGGGCATCAGGGTGCACACCTGTCATCCCCACACTCAGGAGGCTGAGCCAGGAAAGGAGGGGACAGGAGGGAAGGGAACCGGAGGGGAGGGGAGGGGAGGGGGGAGGGGAGGGGGGAGGGGAGGGGAGAGCGCCTTACCTGGAATTATTGCCTTGGTTTAACAAAAAAAAAATTCTGCTGGGGGAGGGGAGGCGTCAGCTTTGGAGCCTGGGCCCTGCTGCTCCCACAGTTTTAGGGATTGATTGTTCCTGGGAACCAAACCCAGGGCCCTGAGCACCCTAAGCACCCTGCTTTGCCATGGAGCTGCCTCCCCAGCCCTCTTTATATTTTATCCTGAGACGGGGTCTCGCTAAGTTGCCGGGGCTGGCCTTGAATTTGTACTCTTCCTGCCTCAGCCTCTAGAGGACCTGGGGATGACAGGTGTGACCACTGTACCCTACTCTGCTGTTTTGTTTTTGTTTTTTTTTTTGCACCAGGAGTCGAACTCACAACCTCACAGTAACCAAGCAGGTGCTGTGCTCCTGAGCTGCATCCCTAGCCCTTGCTGTTCCTCAACAGACCCCAAAGTAGAAACCAACATTGAACCCAGGGGCCTTAGGACCAACCTCAGGGAGATCTGGCCTCTGGGAATGATCCCGAAAGGGACACTTTTCCTTTTTGTAAAACAAACGAACAAAACCTCACCAGCTCTTCAGAGAAAAGGGGGCCCCATGCTCCCCATAGTTATCCAAAGGTTCGGTACCTGTCCTGTCCTCAGGGGACACAGGTGACAACAAACGTGCTATAGGCTGGTCCGATGGCAGTGGGTTATCAGAACTTATTAACATTAGTGTCACTAAAGTTGGTATACCACCCCCCCACTGCTAAATTTGACTGGCTAAAAAAATAAAATAAAAATAAATAAAAATTTAAAAAACGTGCTATTGATGTGACTCTGGGAAAAGCGACTTCATCTTGCTCATCCTCCACCTCCTCATCGGTGTTGGGCAGGATCATTTATTTCTACCCTGCAGCTGTTACAATGCCTCCATGAGAGAATTTGTAGGAAAAAGTGCCTGGCACCCAGGAAAAAGTTTTACTCCCTTCCACTAATGGAAGAGTAAGCCTTTGGATTATCATTAGACGCACACTAGGTTTCAAAAAACAAAACTCATTAGTGACTTAAGAGACACAAAAGGCAGTCACCGCGTCAGGAGCTCTTCTTCATCAAGGGTCCTGAGGCACAAGAGATTCATTTGAGTCTCACTTTGTCATCCAGAGTGGCCTTGAGCCTGTTGGGTAGCCCAGGCTGACCTCAAACTCTTGGCAACCCTCCGGCCTCAGCCTCCCAAGTACTGGGATGACAGGTGTGCACCACCAACTTCCCATGTGGGCCTCTGACTATATGAAAGGGAGATTTTAGAAAGGAAATGGAGCCGAGCGCCCAGCAGATGTCCCTGCGTCCCTTTGGGGCCCAGATATTTCTGCACATCTCTCTTCCTCCCGGATAGGGGGCCGCCACAACTCAGGCTGAAGCAGGGCATTTAGCGCCCTGTAGTGGCTCCAGATTGCGGGCGCTGGCATGGGGACTCCTCAGATGTAACCGATGGCTCCTGAGGGTCCTCGTCCTGTAAACGCCTTCCCGTGGCGCCAACGACTACCGCGGCACTCAGGTTGGCATAAAGCAGGAGAAAGGTGTTGGCGAGGCCTGTGCACTCGGCCGAATTTTAATTTCCTTTTCAATCTTGTCCCAATTAATTTCCCAGAATTAATCTCACGGAAGCAGGCTTGGCGGCGGCAGTGGGGCTGCAGTTTAGTGGGGCGGTCCTTCTGCCTAACCATGAAATAGCAGCTAATATAAAAACCCATCTGCTTAGCTGGGGATTTAGCTCAGCGGCATAAGGGCCTGCCTTGCAAGCAGGCAGTTGTGAGTTTGATCTCTGGTACTGATAAAAAAGGAAAAAGACAAAAAAAAACCCATCTGCTTCCTCCGAAATCCACACTGGCTGCTCTGCAGTCCCAAACAGCAGCAGCAGGGGACAGCGGCTGTGTCGGGGTGAACGGCCACCGGTACTTGGCAGAGGTGCAGACCGGTGTACCCAGAAAATCCCTTCAGCCTGGTGCCAGGCACGGCAGGACGGGGCTGAATCACCCTGTGCCCTGGTGTGCTGGGCTCAGGCTTGGGTCCTTTGATCGGAGGGTCAAAAGGCCCAGGTGTGGCCCAGCTCTGCTCTGGTCACTGGTTACATGCGCAGGAAGTGATGTAAGATGCTGCTGCTTGGACAAGATTGATCACAAGTCCTGGCTTTCCGCAGGAGTGACCCTCATGTCCTAGGACACATTCCTTGTGAATTGTAAAGGTGCAAAGAAGTGCCATGGCACACATCTGTCATCCCAGCACTCAGGAGGCTGAGGCAGGAGGATCACTGTGAGTTCGAGGCTAGCCTGGAAAGTTCAAGACCAGCTTGAATTGCATAGGGAGACCCTGTCTCAAAATACTAATAATAATCACAATGAAAGTCCCCCTTCCACTTTGAGATGGTGCCTCAGCGGCTCTGGAGGCCACTTCTAGAAGGCCCCTCTGCCAGAAGTCATTTATGGTGCTCACATGAGCTGTCCAGCAAATGTAGGCGAGCTAAAGAGAGGGGAAGAAAACTCTTTCTCCATTGACCAGGCAGGAAGTGGGGACCCTGGCTGTGTTTAAGGTAAGCTGAGTCAGGAGGCTTTATCTCCCAGGCTTGGGTTTGGTACCCAAGATCTTGCCCCATGCTTCATATCCATGGAAACCAATCAGGAAGCAACAAATGCGGCTGCCCTCCGATGACAGAGAAACCAGGCACCCCTTGGACATGGTCAAGTTTCACAAGGAGCCCACGCTGCCGTGTCAGATGGCCATGGACCTCGCAGGGACAGCACTGGACTCACTTTGTCACCTGGGCTGCAGCCACTTAAACTAACCTGACGAGGCAGCAGCTTTGTACACACTGTTAGTGTGATACTGAGGCTGCCAGGTCGGTTTGGGTTTTGTCTTTTTTTTTTTTTTTTTTTTGTACTGGGACTCAAACTCAGGACCTTACACTTGCCAGGCGGTCAAATCCCAGGCCCATGGATGAGGCTTTTAAACCCACTTCTCTCCACCTGGAAGAGACTGACCATAGGCCTCACCTTCCTGAGCTCCCCAGAAGCTATTGGTATGGCGCAGAAAATGACCCAGAGGCAGCAGATCCTCCTCCTCTGAAAGGGGTTCGCTGGCAGCGCCAATAGCCCACATCAAAACAGGAGTGAATGTTCCCATTGCTATTCCAGAAAGTTATCTTCCTGTCTCTCTCTCTTTCTGTTTTGTAATTCCAGGAGGGAAAGGAGGCGTTTGGTGACATCTAGTGTCCATTCAGGACCACTCAGGCTCCGGCCCCTGGCTCGCCTGGGGGATGGGCGGTTTCACGGAAGGGACTGGGCTGGGGACTGAGACAGGGGCCTGGAGCCCAGAGGACCTAGGAGGCCCATGAGACAGCCACGGCCTGTCCAGCCCCATCCTTCACCCCTGACCTGCCCGAGAGGCAGGCCGGGACGCTCGGGAATCTCTGCTCTTATTTATGATGGGCCAGGGCGGGGAGGGGGATGCGCTGTCCCTGCCATCCCCTTTTCCTGTTAACAAGCAGGTCAGGCTCCGCCTGGTGAGGAGGCTGATAATGACGGGGTGTCCTGTGTTGTTAACGGCCCCGCCGGGAGGCCATCGAGGCAGGAGGACGGGGCTGGGGTTTGGGGTCAGGCGGAAGGCAGCGGTCACACACCGGTCAAATTCAGTGGGGCCATTCCTTTCCCCAGACAGGAACCAATCGTCTAGAACAAACCCTGGCAGCCTCATTCCTGCAGGTAATTTTTATAAATGAGGGGACACCCATTCCAGGAGAGGACAAAGGGGAGAGGGGTTCCTGTGTACGCGCCTGTGTGTGCAGACACATGTGTAAAGCTGCTAACAGGCCCTCGGCCACAGCCCTGGCCATGGTGAGAAAAGCCATCCTTTCAAAGGGAAATACGGCATTTTCCTCTACCTCCTTGTTGCTAAACTATGGCCCCAGGCCGGACCAGTGGCTTTACACACACACACACACACCTCGGTCAGGTGGAAAAGTCTTGCACCAGATAATGAAAGAGAAGACCCGAACAAAAATGTTTACCTAGAACCCCAGCAGGCAGCCGTCACAGGGCTGGTTTCATTCTCAGAATTGCCCAGCGCTCTTCAAACTCCAGTGTGAAAAAAAAGAAAAAAAATCAGCCATTTATTTTGCAGTGAATTTATAACAAATGCTGTTAAAGGCTTCGTCTTTTGACAGAGGTAATAATAAATTCACTCTTAAAGACGGTAGTTTAATTCCTTATACCTCCAATACTGTACAGAATAAACCATATTCATCATGGAGTAATTTTTTACCACATAAATCTTTAAAACTAACTGGTGGAGGCTGTTGGGACTGAAATATTGTGAATTTATTAGATATGCCCATGTAGTATTGGATTCAGAGGTTTCCATTCGAATACATTACGGGGAAAATTTGTGTCTTTAACTGTGACATTCCCCGGTCCCCGCCAACAGTACTCTAACACGGCTTCCCAGAGTCAGCCACACGTTTATTAGACAAAGATTTAGTAATAAACTCCTCACTAATCTGCCAAAGAGGCTGGGTGACATTTCAGTGAGAAGCCCTATTTAAAAGGAGTCACAAAAGCTTTGTTTCTGTGTAATTATCTTCGGGAAAGGAACCCAGCCTAGCCCAGAGCTCTTTTGCCAACATATGTTTTTTGAGTTTTTTTTTTCTCTCTCTCTCTCTCTCTTTTAATTCTTTTTCAGTTTCTTGATATTATATGGATGTGGCCCTCCAACCAAACTCGAAAAATAAGGAAGCAAATCGTGGCCTTGTTGCAGAGATGCATAGCAGTGATTTCCATGCAGGTTACAGGGTTTGCTACGGGCTGAGGGCACAGGAATCTGTAGACATTCACAGATGTGGGGTATTTAAGGCTAAGCAAAAGCCCCTCTTTCTTGTCAGACTACAAATAACGGGTTTCAGGAAACTTACCATTTAAAAATTTTCCTCTTAACGTGACACATTCAGGATACAATTAAGTCCTCAGATTTGAGCAAAAAACCTTTTACTCTGTTGTCTTAAATATTGAGTGAAAAATCTACGCCTGGTACGTGGGAAGGTTCTGAACTTTTCCTCCTAATGTTCTACCAAGTGACATTTAAATGAACCAATTGACTAAATCAAACTGCATCTTCAGTTTCATTACGGAAACAGTAATACAGCTAAAATGGGAAAACATGTGGGGGGGTTCTTTTTTTTTTAATGCAGAAATGTATATCTTTTTTAGCAAAGAGTCAGGATGGTTTCTCTGTTCCTGTACTCCGATTCTCTGTTGGAATAGATTCTGATACTAAAAACTTCCGTGGAGTATTTTAAACTTGACATTTCTTTTTCAATAAAATGAAATCTAGTAGGTTTCTAACTGTTAAAACAAAACAGAAGACTGTCCTGGCTGTGCAAGAGCGCAGCCACCAGAACGATTGTTAAAAGACCAAACCTGCTGGAAAGATAAGCCTAATCCCAGCAATTAATATTCAGCGCCTCTCACTCCAGCGGGGCGGGCCAGTCCTTTCTTTGTGATGTAGCTCACGAGCTGAGCGCGTTGGTAACCAGACTCCCAGCTCCTCTTTGAGCATGAAGATTAAGGATCCCCCCCCCAAAAAAAAGAAAGAAGCAGGAAAAAAAAACCCAGCAACAACAACAATCCTACTCCATCTGTAAATGAACTAACATTGTGCTTTTATAGCTATTTGCTTTCTAAAACTAAGGAACGAAACCAAAATTACTGGGTGGCTAAGTAACACTTTAATTCTGAATTCATTTACGCTGTAACTATGTGGCTGTCACAAACCGTAATGCAGTATTTAATTAAAATAAGAGAAAGGCATCTAGATGGGTCCTGGGGTGGCTGTCGCCCAGTGATAGCGCAGGCATCCGTGTTTATTTAGGAAAGGGCAGATTCAAAGGTGCAGAAGGGTGAACATTTGAAACTTGGGTTTTTAGAAAGACTCCTTTTTATCCACCCTCCCATGTTTTTGAATTTCTTCTCCTCCTCATCCTCCTCTTCCTCTTCCTCCTCCTCCTCCTTCCAGTTTGTTGGGTGGGCGATTGTTCTCCTAATAACACCTCAACTGTGGTCTCTGAGGGCCAAACTTGGCTGTGGACAGCAAACCTTCCCCAGCTCCTGTGCTCCCCCTGGCTCCTTTCTCCATGTCCATGAACACCCGTCAGAGTTCACACACTTGCTTGCACAACTCGGTGGCTGTCCGCACACGGATCACACACGTGCAGCACTTGCCCCCCACGCCCCTGCCCCATCCGTCCCCCACTCCCATACCTGTCCCATCCACCTCCCTGTCTGCAGAATTGTTTCCGATTTATAAATAATGAACAGACAGGAGAGATGATCGAAACATTCAAATTGTTATTTTTCACTGTACACAAACAGGCTGCTCTGGCAAGGCGTGGCCGGTTCCTGGAAAAGCCATGCCGTCTCCATCCCAGCAGCCCGCTCCCGTCTTTCCTGTTCCAACTCTTGTGCTTGCACAGTCCAAGATTGGACCACATTCCTTAGTGATACCAGGCTCTTGTGTTCACTCTTCCTGATGCTTATTTTTCCCACAGGGACAGACTTTTGTGGTCCCCTGACCTCCATCAGATAACCCTAGAATTATAAAGCAGAAATCATTGCAATCACCTCTGTAAAGAAAAAAGAAAAAAAAAAAAAAAAAAGACCTTGCGGTCGCATCCTAAAAATACTCCGATAATGCTATCATCAGAGCTCGCCCCAGCCTGCAGCTGGGGTCTTTTAGAGAGAGAATTTCTCCCTCATACTTGTAATTATTTATTCCCTTTCACAGGTCACATAAAAAGTTAATTTCAATCGCTGCTAATTTCCGTCCAACAAGAATGCGGTACTTTAAACCACCCAAAATAATTGGATTCAAAACAAATTTAGGAAATTGAGTGTGTTAGAAAGCAAATAAAAATATCCTTTCGGTGAGGAGGAGGGTGAGAGCAGTAAAAGGCCCTTCCTCCCTCCCTGCCTTTTCCCTTCTTTCCCCTTCACAACTTCGCTATTAAAGTTGCACCTACAGCTAGAAGTTTGTCCGTGAAAAATGGTCATTTTGTTTCTCTGCTCAAAGAATGTTATTAAAATGCTAATTTAAAAGAAAAAGGAGTTAAATATCTAGCAATGGTGCATTCTAATTGCAACCGTAATGAGCTCCCTAAATGTGCCTGCCCCCACACCCGGAGCATAAACAGCAGTAAACAGATCATTAGTGCGGCGTTCATTTATTCTGGCGACCTTACCATGACCCCACCGAGGGTAGGGTGAAAAGCAGGTGGATCTGGCTGTGACACCCCCTAGAGGGATCCAGGAAATGAAGCTATAAGCGGTTGCCGTGGAAACGCCCGTGTGTGGAGATGATGTAACACACGGGCCGGCTGCAGCGCTCCGCAACTGGGACGCCGCCTTTCCCTCGCCAGAACCATCTTGAGGATTAAATTATTCATTTATTTAATTCACAAAGCCAAAGGAATCCTAATTTTCTGGGTGATGCGTGCAAGGCTTCTCCCATTCGTCTAGGGTCTGGAAGGGAGCGACTTGTTATCCTCTCTGACTCCGACACCCACCCCAACCTCCTGCACCCCAGCACCCCACAAAGAGCCCAGTCACAGCCAGGCGGGCAAAGGGGACACCCACCCGGCCTCTGGATTTAAAAGGGAAAATCAGGAGTTTGAGGCTACAGTGAAATGAGAAACAGCGGCCTTTCCGGCGGAGCAGACAGACTTGTGCTGCACTGGGTGGCTTTGTTCAGGCCAGAGCAGGACGAGATGGAGCGGGGACCCCAAAGCCCCGGGTGTCAGAGAGAGAGGGAGAGGTCCCAGGCCCACATAAGCAAGTCTCATGCTTGCAAGGTGCAAGAGAAAGACAGAGGAGAGAGAAAGAGAGGCTGCTCACCCCTCCCATGTCCAATCGAGATTAATAAAAATAATTCTTAGAAGAATGGCTCCATTCTCTCCTAGCCTGTTTTGCACCAAACAACCTCAATAACCTTACGGCAACAGTAGAATAACTTTTCGCATTCCGCTGCTTTTTTTTTTTTTTTTTAAAGGAAGTGAGGGTGGGAAACAATCTCTGGAAATTATTTTAAAATAAAAAATCTCCCGGCCCGCGCACCCGGCCCCCTCCGCGTGGCACTCTGGATGAACCTGTGATGTTGTAGCGATGGCTTGAAGTGCGGTGGGGAGGTGATTTAGGGGAATATTAAAGGCAGCGCGGAGATTCAAGGCGCCTCTCTCAGGGAGATCGGGAGAAATACGCGGCACAGATGGGCCGAGCAGATTAAACATTTCCCTCGCATTGTTTCCAAATTGTGTTGTGGCGCCCGAGGCTGGTGCCGCGGTCAGAGCACAGCCGAGCGAGGCAGGGCTGCGCGCGGAATACATATTAATCGGCGGCTCCTGCAGCCCGGGTCGGCGCCTCGCGTCCCGCAGCCCGCGCTTGGCCCCAGGCTCCCTCCCAGCTGCAGGCTGCCCCGCGCCCTCTGCCCTCTCCTCTCCAGGGCAAGCAGGAGCTGAGCGCTGCCTTCCTGCCTCCAGCCGTGCTCACAGGCTCACTCCATTCCCTCCCGGCCGCTCGCACGCTTGCACGCCCATGCTGCTCCCCCACTGCACACCTGTCTGTGCACAGGCTCTGCACGCTTTGGGCGGAGTCGCTCCACACTCACCCCCTGGGCACACCCCTGAGCTTCGCACCCAAGTGGCCTCTGCCCCTCTGTCTGGGGACCCGTTCCTCTTCTCCGGCAAGGCAGGGTGTGGCCCTGGGCCCCTCGAGCCCTTTTCCTGGCCACCCCAGTCTTCCGGGGGCCACCTTTCTTCCTCTGGCATATCTTCCCCCACTTCCGGGCCCCCCATCTCAGGTTAGCAGTTTCCTTGAGAGGAAACCATAAATGAAACTGGATCAATGGAGGCCCATTTAATGATTCATTTTTATTATGATTTATAGACCAAAACTCTGAATCACAGAAAAGGAGAAGATAATTGCCAAGAACTTAAAGCCCAGGATAAAACAGCCTGGAGAGGCCGCACGGGTTCCAGCCCTCCCCTGCAGCTAGCGCACCCACCACCTGGCTGGGCCTTCCCTGTCCCCGCTCTGGAAAATGGGTCCTGTTCACCCTTGTGACCATCTTCTGCTCCCAGCCTTGTTTCCCCAGAAGCAGAAGGGTCCTTGACCCAGAGGTTTTGGCTTGTTCACTGACCATATCCTGAGAAAACACTAAGTTTCCCAGGCTGATCCAAGGTATGAGTTGATCCAAAGTAGATGTGAGGATTTACTGGGCCAGCCATAGCTATGGTGGTTCACACCCGTCATCCCAGCACGCAGGAGACTGAGGCAGGAGGATCACAGTGAATTTGAGGCCAGCCCAGGCTTCAAGGTAAATTCAAGGCCAGGCTGGGCTGTATAGGGAGACCCTGTCTCAAAAATATAAAACCAAGGGGCTGGGGGTTTAGCTCAGCGGCATAAGCACCTGCCTTGCAAGCAGGCGGTCGTGAGTTCGATCCCTGGTACCGATAAAAAGGAAAAAAACAAAAACAAAACAAAACAAAAAATAAATAAAACCAAGAAAAAGAGAATCTACTCAGAAACTTCTGTGTCCTGTCTGTACTAATAATGTGTGATGCCTTGAACACCAATAAGAGAAATAGGCAATCATAAACCAATACTTGCGTGACTGATCGGCGATTCCCATGTATATATCAGAGTGCATTGATCTTTTCTGTTCGAGGCTGATGTATGGTCCTCAGGAAGAGGGATTCTCTTGTTTACAATGCTGATGTTGTGAACTTTGGTGGTTGTTGTTTTCTGGGACTCTTGTTCCATGGAAGCTTGAGAATCCTGTCAGTGTGGAAGAGGAGGGTTCTCAGGGACACTGGGCATGGTATGGACCCAGAGGAATGGACACTAGGAAAAGGCACCACAGTGTTAAAGAGAACAGCACTTGGGCTGGGGATTTAGCTCAGCAGCCTAGTGCCTGCCTGGCAAGTGTAAGGTCCTGAGTTCAAGTCCCAGTACCAGAGAGAAAGAGAGAGAGAGAGAGAGAGAGAGAGAGAGAACAGTGCTTTACACAGGATAAGCAAGCTCAGTTGGGCCATAGGGTGAGCAGGCTGTAGGTGAAGGGCTTAAGACAAGGAACCCAGTAGAACATGTCCGTCATCCCAGCAATCAGGAGGCTGAGGCAGGAGGATTGCTAGGGGCTTGAGGCCAGCCTGGGCTACACAGCAAGACTGCCTCAAAAATCAAAACAAACAAACCCAAAAACTGGGAATGATAGGAGGAATGCGGACCAGTGATTCCCTTGCTGTGCCCTTTGTTATATAAAGGGGCAGGAGGCGTCCACATTGGGACGAAGTACAGATTCGCCCACAGAGACCACTGGACTTTCCCCCACTGGTGGGGGAGTTTCTGGGGGGCTCATCGACCCTGTGAAAATCAGGTGAAAAGTCTGGGCCTCACCCCAGGGACAAGGCCCAGGCCACCTCTCATGCCCCTTTGGGGCGGGCACCCGAGCTGAGCCCAGCCGGGCCTGGGGTGCCCGCTCCCTGCCCTGGCACACGGTGACTCCCTTTGGCAGGAACAGCCTAAGAATCACTGAGGCTGGAAATTGGATTCTCCGCCCAGAATGAGAGGGTCATTCCGGGATGGTCCGCTCCTCCAGGGGGGCCGCAGAGCGGCCCTGCAAATAGGGCCAGCGGGGAGGAGAGAGATTGCCATGCAGCAATGGGGGGCGGGCACTTAATTTCTTCCAAGGCTTATGATGGGCGCCTGCTGCTGTCTCCATCCCGCCCCTGACACCTATCACAGGGGCTCGGGACCCAGTGACAGGAGGAGGCTGAGGAGGGCCGTGACCCTAAACAGCGATGGGAAACCGCTGGAGGCCGAGTCACGCTGCGCATCTGGCTGCGCGTCCTGCCTGGCGTCGGGGCCATACTGCTTTTTGTTTATAGAATTTGCTGGGGGTTTTTTTATGGCAGGTTTGGTAGGATTTTTTTTCCATGTGAATGGAGTTGAGCGGCATAAATCCTTCATCCAGCTGTGTGCAGCACCCGCACAAACGTGTCTGATTGTTTCTGTCCCTTGCTTCACTCAGGTTCCGCTCCTCCAGGACAGCGGCGTCCACCATCCCACAGTGGACTCCAAAAGCTGACTTTCGTTTTTGAAGCTTTGTGTGTCGGGGAAGGGTTCGAGGAGGTGGGGCACGGTCAGTGCCAGAAAAGATGTTTAATCAAACCTAGAAATATTTATGATGCAAACAAACCTCACACACTGTACTTGAGGACTCTGCGGCAAGAAGAAGCACTGATAGGCAGGATTTTGTTGGGTTGTTTTTTGGTTTTTGTTTTTTTTTTTTTTTGTCTTTTTCGTTTTTATCGGTACCAGGGATCGAACTCACGACTGCCTGCGTGCAAGGCAGGCACTTATGCCGCTGAGCTAAATCCCCAGCCCCTTTGTTGGGGTTTTTTATTAATAACTTTTTAATCCCAGCACTGGGGAGGCTGAGGCAGGAAGATTGCCATGAGTTTAAGACCACCCTGAGCTACATAGTGAGCTCAAGGCCAGCCTGAACTCCATGCTGAGACCCCATCTCCATAGAAGCCAAAAACTAAAAAAAATAACTTTCTAGATTCTTATCTAAAGCATCTTCAGGTAAAAATTCTGTGTCATTAAACTTTTAAGGGTTCAGGAGCAGGGACTGCACATAACTGAGCGTTGTCACTCGGAGATGCTTGTCCCCCCAACTTGCAAGGTAGAAAAATACCCATGCTGCGGATTGCAGGTCATCTGGGAGCCTCTCAGTATTTTTCCAGTTTTTCCAAACATCTGGGCAAAGAGAAGTTGGGGCTGTACGGAAAACACTGATCCCAGAAATTCAGTACTCTCTGCCATCCATGAACTGAAACCCAAGAATCAGCAACTTAATGAAAATGCGGTAAATTATCACCTCTAGACAAGAGTAGAGTTCACTGAGAGATGGGGTCTGCCTGGCTGAGCCGGGGCTCTCCACTTTAATGGTTTAATAAAAATTAGCATAATTAACGAACATCTGTATGATCCAGAGCGGTGCAATTTGGCACTTGAAAACGAGGGCTTGAACGTGATTGCTGCGAGTTTAATGTTGTTTTAATTCTTTTTGGCACCGCACAGTGAAATAAACGTTTGGCGGGGAGAGTTCTCGGCCGGATCTCATTTGCATTCTTCTCCCTTTGATTATGAGCGATCGCGGACTCCCCAGCAATTCATCAAAGCAGAAATTATTTTAAAAGACCTCGTGGTGTTCAGACTGGGCGAGAGCGCTGCGTGGGGCGGGGGGGTGGGGAAGGAGGCGAAATTTTCCATTCATGCATTTAAACCTCGGCCACCCGCTCGGCCTCTATCCGGGGCTGGAGGCGCTCGGCTGCCTGACAGCTCCAACTGCTCGTCCTCTGCGCACTTCTGCCCACTCTTGTGCTTTGCAGGCCGGAGAAGAGCTGATTGCAGTTGTTCCGGTTCTCACCAGTGTGGCATGACCACTACCTCTGCAGCCAGCAGGTCACAGTGCCCCTCCAACAGGAGCAGGTAGCCCACTGGGCCTCATGTTCTATCGGAGTTGGCAGGGAGCCCCTGCCTGAGGCCTGGTCCCCGCTCCTGGCATTACCACTCCAGGGGCCAAGGATGTTAAGGCAAGGCAGGGAGAGGGTCCTGAAGCCTTCCCTGAGCCCCTGCAGGTAATAAAGGTGGCAGTGCCCGTTCCCCTCCAGTGGGAGGCCACACCCCACATCTGCCCAATGGCTTCCAGCAAAAGACATCAGACAAACCCATGGTGGTGCCTGTGATCCCAGCACTTGGGAGGCTGAGGCGGGAGGATCCATAGGAGTTCAATCCCAGTCTGAGCTATAGAGTTCAAGGCCAGACTGAACTGCATAGTGAGACCCTGTTTCAAAAATGACAGTAATATAACTTGTACTAAGAGGAGCTTTACAATGGCCTGATAGGCATAGACTGGTGAGTGGCATGGGCTGAGGGATTCTGGGTAATTTCCCATAAGGCAGTTCAAACTGTAGGACAGAGTGGCCAGAGGGAGGAAAAATTATGAGAGTGCCCAGTGTAGGAAAAGGTAGTGGACACTTGGGCGGTTTTGTTGTTGTTGCTCAGGGTTTTATTTTTGGAGTACTGGGTATTGAATGCTGGCTTCCACACCGAGCCACATCCCTGCCCTTCTTATTTTTTATCTTGAGACAGGTTCTAACAAAATTGTCCAGGTGGAAATGGAACTGGCAGTCCTCCTGCCTCAGCCTCAAGTGTGCTGAGATTACAAGCATGTGCCACCACCGCACCTGGCTGCTTTTGGTTTCTTAACATCAATATTTAAAAGGCAGTTAGTTCCCTAGTTTTAAAAAGATCAGCCCAGCTGTGTCACTTCCTAGGGCATTTGAGACTTCCTGGTAGCCAGAGAGCACCAGGTGGTCTCCCCAAAGGGAAGTTGATCATTTCCTGCTGCCACCAGTTGGTCGCCAGGGAGCACCCTGGAGTCAGCCGGGCAGAGCCATACTGCTCTGCTGAATCTAAACTCCCAGGCCAGGGCGGCCTGCGTTTGCGCCCAGCCCCCCCTGGCAAGAGGCAGGCACACTGGGGCTGGTTCCCAGCCGCAGCTAAGAGCTCAGCAGCACATAAAGCTGCCTGGGTCCGGCCTGGGACTTCCTGTCTAGGGCCTGGTGCCCAGCAAAGGGCAGGAGACGCACTGTGGCTGGGCCTCAGCACAGTGAGCCCTGAGCCGGCGCTGCCTGCTGCCACCATCAGAGAGCGGCCCGGAGCAGGTTCTGGAGAGGGAACAACTTGGGCATTGAGATCTGAAGGCTGCTTGGGAGCAAAACTCAAGAAGCAGAGAAGGGAGATAGAGGCCAGAAAAGCAATGGAAGCATCATGGTGGAGCACACCTGTGACCCCAGCACTGCGGAGGCGGAGGCGGAGGCGGAGGCGGAGGCAGGAGGAGTGCCAGGAGTTCAAGGCCAACCTGGGCTCCATGGCAAGGCCCTGTCTCAAGAAAATAAAGCTGATTAATCAATTTTAAAAACACTTTGGGATCTTTAATGGCATCAGATTTCCTGTTTCTATATAGATGGAATGAAGGAGAAATGGACATTGTGTTTTGTTTTGTTTTATTTTGTTTTGTTTGTTTGCTTTGCTTTGCTTGAGCCAGGATCTGACTCTGTAGCCCAGGCTGGCCTCAAACTCATGGCAAGCCTCCTGCCTCAGCCTCCCGAGTGCTAGGATGACAGGTGTGTGCCACCACACCCATCGGACATGTTTGCTTTCCTCCTTTAGACGATTTTCTCGTCCTGAATAATCCAAGGCATGCTAGGAGTTCACACTGCTGTTCCAGCCTCAGCCCTTCCAGCAGAGTGGCCTGGGCCGTCGCTCTCAGGGTCCCCAGAAGCAGCACAAACTCCAATGTGTTCCCTCCCGCTTTTGCAGGAATACAACATGTATGGCTGGTGGGTCGGAGAGCTGAACAGCCTGGTGGGGATCGTGCCCAAGGAGTATCTCACCGCTGCCTTCGATGTGGAGGACAGATGAGACCCAGGTACCAGAGCCTCCCACCGTCAATGAACTGCCCTTACCCAAGGGGGGTCTGCGTTGTGTTCTGAGGCAGCATCTTGCTCCGCAGTTCAGGCCAGCCTCAAACTCACTATGTGGCCCAGGCTGGCCTCTAACTTGCAATGGTGCTCCTGCCTCAGCCTCCCCAGTGCTGGGGTTAAAAGCATGCACCACCACGCCTGGCACATGCGCGCATTTTGAGTTGTGAAAGCCTATGTGTGTATTTTCCCCGCAGGATGGAGACTCAGACTATCAAGAATTTGGCCTAGACCCCTCTTCTCTGCAGACATCAAGTCCCAGCAGCCGGGTGGAGACCGAGGGAGGAGATGCAGCCCCGCCCCTGCCCCCCCCACGCCCCCCCAGCCTGTCCCCGCCCCCTCCGCCTCCCCGCGGGCTCCCTGGTGTGCAAAGCGCAAATAAACTCCAGATGTGGTTCACCTGCCGCCTTGTGCACAGGAGATCCTCAGTGTCGCGATGCCACTGTCCCCACCCCCAGCGGAGCGGGCAGGGACGGCCAGAGGGATGCAAAAGCCAGGAGAGAAGGTGCCTTGCGGGTGGCCACCAAGACCCAGTCAGCTCGGAGCCCGGGTCTGCCAGCCGCCGCAGGCTTCTCGCCTTGCTCTGCTCAGCTGCTTGCTTTTCATCATCTTCTGCTTTGTTTGTTTGTTTGTTTGTTTGTTTGCCTGTCTGTTTTTGGAGACAGGGTCACTCTAGGTAGCCCAGGCTGGCCTTAAACTCACAGCAATCCTCCTGCCTCAGCCTCCTGAGTGCCGGGATGACAGGTGTGTGCCAGCACTCTGGGCTTTTCCTTTTCTCTACCGCATCTCCCCACGACAGAGCCAGGCGCCAGGCCCGCATCAGCACGCTGGAGAGCTCCCCAGCCCGGCCCTAACCATGCCGCATGTGCCCGTCAGTCTGTACCAAGGCCCAGAGAGGGGCTGAGGAGGTCCTCTGAGGCGGGCTCCCTGGCACAGGGCGTGCTCTTTCTTGTCCCTGCACCCAGCACTTAGGTTATCTATGAACTGCAAAAGCGGCAAAGTAGTGATTAAAACATACACTGTAGCCGGCGTGGTGGCGCGTTCCTGCAATCCCAGCACTTGGGAGGCTGAGGCAGGAGGATCTTTGCAAATTCAAGACCAGCCTGGGCTACAAAGTGAGCTCAAGGCCAGTCTGGACTGCATTGCTAGACCTTGTCTCAAAAAGACCAAAAAACAAAACAAAACAAAACACTATAGCCCGCATTGGTGAATGCCTGTGGTCCCAGCATTCAGGAGGCTGAGGTAGGTGGATCACTGAGAATTCCAAGCCAGTGAGTATACTCTCCTTGGTGAGTCACTAGGTAAATAGGAAGATGAAAAGGTTTAGTACGTGTAGGGTACTTGGCACAATGCCTGGCATGTATGCAGTGTGCACTCAGTACGGTTAGCAGTCAGGCAGTGACCTAACTGCATGAGAAACTTGGAGAAGGTCCCGAGCAGCCACAGGGATGTTATTACTGACACTTCCTAGTAAGGGCAGTCCTGGAGGGTTGGAAGCCTGAAGCAGGCCTATTGTGGCCCTTCGGGAGGCTGAGGCAGGAGGATCACTGTGAGTTTTTGGTCAGCCTGAGCTACATAGCAAGACCCTGTCTCCAAAACAAACAAAAAGGTAAGAAACTGAAACCGTTTGGGTCTGGGAGAGAAAACTTGGGATCTGCAATGAAAGGGAGCACAGGGGACGGTCACCTTCCGTGACCACCACCTGTGTTAAAGGAGAAGCCACCACTAGGTGGCAGCACAGGAGCAGGGGAACAGATGAGCGCCAATTGCCCCGCTCCTCCAACACCTGAGCACCAACCCCGGCCCACAGGCGGGGACGAGGGTGTCCTTCCAGTGTGATCAGAGGAGGGGCACGCGAGACCCCAACCTGTCCCGGGGAGCCCCGAGGGACTGCGGCGGAAGGGCAGGGAGGCCAGGACACCTCCGCGCCGCTGCCCCAAACCAGTCTTCACTACGGCTCAGCTCAACACGAGCCTCCAGCCGCAGTGCCCAGGGCATCACGGTCCCTTGGTACGCGTGGACCACAGGGAAAGACCGTTTGCCACACTGCAAAGGCCCTGGGCATCTTACCCTGCAGAGCTTGGGCCTGGCCAGCTGTTAAGAAAAAGTAGATGGGCCCCAATGACCTAAGCAAAGGGATGCCTAGGAAGCCGGTCAGGGGCTGTTCCCGCTCTTTCCAACGTTTTGGTTTTGGTTTTGGTTTTCTGAGACTTTTCAGATAGGGTCTCCCTAGGTAGCCCAGGGTGGCCTTGAACTCATGGCAAGCCTCGTGCCTCAGCCTCCCAAGTGCTGGGATGACAGGTGTGCACCACCACTGTTCCTTTGAGAGATTTTCTGATCAGAAGACCTCACCCGGAGCCTTGACCTCAGGTTGTGCTGCCCTAACCAGCTAGTCTGCAAAAGACGAAAACAAAGGATGGAAGAGGTTGTGACTAATTGGCCGAGATCACACAAAATATCATGGGGAGGAGGAAACGAGAAAGCCCTGGGAATTCTTCATCAGTCGCTTTGCTTGGTTGACTCGCCTGAGTTCCACTGCTGTTAGCAGCTCTGGGGGGCCAGCTGCAAGGCCCCCAAGTTCCATGCCAGTTCCCAGCATCACCTTCAAAAGCAGTCTGAGTTCAGCACGCGGGTCATCCCAGCACTCAGGAGGCTGAGGCAGGAGGATCGCCTCGTGTTAGGCCAGCCTGGGCTACATAACTACCTGGCGAGACCCTGTCTCAGAAAACCAAAACCACTTTGAGAAAGATGGCGCTGATTTTGAGAAAGAAAGGAAAATCAGGAAACAAACATCTGTCCTTTCTCATCTCAAGAGTAAAGCTCTCAGATACCAGGGACAGCGGTATCCTCTTTGGCTTAAGAAAATGAAACGGGAAAAAGCCCTTCCCGCAGGGCCCTTCGGGGAGCAGCTTGGAAGATAAATCCCGAGAGTCGCTGATTTGTGAATTCCCACAGCGCCAGGCAAACCTCAGGGCTGGCTGTGCAGACGGCAGCGTCTATGCGGAAGTTCAGCGGCTTCACAGCCTGCTGACTCGGGCTCATTTTCTAGTGTGTGGGCTCCCAGGCCCGCTCCTCCCCTCCCCTCGTCTCCGGCCCCTCTGGAATTTACGGACTGTGGCTCCAGGAGCCTGAAACTCACAGTGAGGAAGAGATTTCTGTTTTCCAAGAGATTGAGATTATTCCCCTGATTTCCCCATCAAAAACTAACTGTTCCCCAAATCTGCTATTTTTCTCCTTAGGGTGAACCAATGGCCTGGACAGGGGTAAGGACACACAGGTTTTAAGACGTAGCCTCTTTTGCATAAAAACCTTTTCCAAGCGGCTGCAAATAACAGAATGATGTCCAGAGAAATTGAGGTAACACAGGGTGCCTGTCATCCCAACACTCGGGAGACTGAGGCAGGAGAACTGCTGTGACTTTGAGACCAGCCTGGGCTGCATAGTGAGCTCAACATCAGTCTGAACTATGGAGCGAGATCTTGTCTCAAAAAACCAGAAAACAGAATTCCTGCCCCCACAGGCCTGCTCTCTAGGAATCACCTTGCCGGTTGGCCTTTTGCTGCCATTCGGCTGCTCCAGGAGCTGTGAAGGGCCGGCCCACTGATGGCAGCTGTGTGTGCTTGGCTCCCTCCTGAGGTCCCTCAGGGCCAGGGTATTGCCACCACCTGGTGCAGTGCTACCGGCAGAAACACTGCAGTGGCTCTGGACCTGACAGGAAGCAGCTGGCCCCTCTCGTCCCATCTGAGAACGACAGACCGGCCACCAGCCTGGCCCTCACTTGTGCCAGGGACACTGGGGTGGCTCACTCTAGCCACCACTCTCCAGGGCCAGCACTTTGCATCTGGATTCTTTTATTTTCTTTTGGGCTTTTGATATAAGAGAGAGCTTCACTAAATAGCTCAGGCAGGCCTTGATCTTGCAATCCTCCTGCCTCAGCCTCCATCCAGAGTGCTGGGATCATAGGCGTGTGCCACAGTGCCTGGCTGCATCTGAAGATTTGAGATGATTTTTTCATCGCATCCAAGCTAGGGGTCCGGCGGGGGCAGCACTGGAAGAGCTGAGCATTTTGTTCTCACATCACTGACAGTTTGAGCCAGAAAAGTCTACTTTGTGCAGCAGGGTGCTGGGGAGCGTTTCCACAGGCAGTCCTGGTCCCTGCCCCACCCCCTGATCCCAGTTAGGAGGACAGAGGTGTTTCTAGACCTTGCAAAAGTGTTCCTAGGGGCCAAGCCTCCTCCGACTGAGATCTACCTGCCCCGGCATTGAGCACGAGCTCAGAGCTTCCCTGCTCCCTGGAAGCTTGCACCCCCTTCACAGAAGCCAGCTAGAGGCTGCAGGCCAGGCCCGGGAAGATGCGGCACACAGGACCCTCGAGTGCTTCCAGGCCTGAACCTCAGGGATCCGATCGTGCATATGCTGGGCCGCACATCTGTCACCCCTAGGATCGCAAGTTCAAGGCACACTGAAGGCCGGCCTGAGCTACGTAGCCAGATCCCATCTCAAAGAAATAAAAGAACCCCCCAAATTAACACAAAACAGCCCAACCCCATGGTCTTGGAGGAGGTGGGGACAGGATGAAGGGCCCTGGGCTCTGTCACATCCACTTGCTCAGGCGGCAGGGACAGAGTCAGCCTGGTGCCAGCCTCGGCCCCGCGAAGCTACTTCCCCCGGGTCTGCGGCACAGGCACCTGGAAGGGTTATTAGCAGGATTGGAACTCGTCCCTCTGCTGGGACCGGCTCATAATTACACTCATTTTCCATCAGCAGCGCCTCTGTGCTCCCAGCCTCATCTCTCAAGGAGGAGCGGGCGGCCTTAAAGGGCCAGCACCCCAGGAGCAGATGCACCCTAACTGGCAAGGTGTGTCCAACACTACAGCTCCCAGGCGGGCCAGCTGAACCACCACTGCCACCGGACCTTCTGCTGAGGACCCAGCTCCCATGCCCACATGGCTGCCAGGGCGAGGGGCACTCGGGGCTAGGGTAGCAGGGAAGGAGCTGGCGGATCTTCCAATCTGTGGTTCAGCAGGGAAGAAAGAAGGCCAGATTGTGTTGCAGCACAGGAAATCTGGGCCCGGGGCTTCCCTTCATCTGAAGGTTACAGAAGCATCTGTGTTCCTGCCAGCCTGAGAGAGAAACCCTATAAACTTCCCCAGGAAAGGGACCTTGTGGCAGCGTAGGCGTGTAATCCTAGCCCTCAGGAGGCTGAGGAAGGAGGATCACTGGGAGTTCAAGGCCAGCCTGGGCTACATAACAAGACTGCATGTCAGAAAAGAAGAAAAACAGACGTGTTTATTGGACCTTGAGGTTTGGAGTCTCCAGCATTCTTGCTCTCCATCCAGGCAGAACTGTTTCTCTCTCGAGGTCGTTTCTCTGAGATGTTAGCTATGGTTCCTAGCGCCCGGCTGGTCAGCTGGGTGCACAGGGGTCTTCAAAGCAGTTCCTTAGTGAGCAGCGATAAAGGGCAAAGGAGGGGCTTCAAAGTGAGTTGGGCTAGGTGCAGTGCAATCCCAGCTACTCAGGAGGCTGAGGCAGGCGGGTCCTGAGTTCCAGGCCAAACTGGGCAACTGAGAAGCTGTCTCGATATTTTTAGAAAGGACTGGGGTTGTAGCTCAGTGGTTGAACTTTTGACCAGAAGGGTCAAGGCCCTGGGCTGCATCCCCAGGAGCACACAAAACCAAAACCATTAAAAAGTTAAGGAAATCTTCCAGAGAGGTGGGAAAGCTGACATCCGCCCCGGGTTCAGAGGCCACATGGCTCTGCAGCACCACATCCTGGGGCGGGGAGCGCGGGCTCATTGATTCAGCATCCCCTGGGGGCACTCAGATGGACTGGCTGCCCCCACCGCCCTCGGAAGGCAGCCCTGGGGCTGACGCACTTCCGGTTCTATTGTAAAGCCCCTGGAACTCTTGGGCTCATTGACCACGCTCCACCCACCTCAAGTTGTTAAAAATATTCAGCAAACCCTGTGTGGTGGCACAGGCTTTACCTCCCAGCACTCAGGGAGGCTAAGGCAGGCGGATCCTTGGGAGTTGGGGCCAGCGTGGGCTACACAGCAAGACCTTGTCTCAAAAAAAAAAAAAAGTAGCTAACTTAGTGTGTACAGCACGATGGCTGAAAGGTCCCCATTTCCCCGCAAGGAAAGCCATCTGGTAGAGAAGGAGATGCCGTTATCTAAGGACGCAGCAATGGAGAAACTAAGGATCTCAGAGTGAGATCTTCTTCCAGGGAACAACCCTGAAAACCACTGCAGGGGATTTTTTTTGTTGTTGTTGTTCTTGAGAGTAATGGTGGGCTTAACTTTAAAGAAAAAAAAAAGGTTTTAAGGAAAATAATTTCTCAGCGGTTAAGTACCCCTGTCATGCAAATATACTCTGATCACCTAAAGATATGCTTTGTTTTTGTTTTATTGAAATAAATTCTTCCTATTTAGCCCAAGCTGGCCTGAAACTCCCAGTGATCCTCCTGCCTCAGTCTCCCCAGTGCTGGAATTACAGGTGTGCACCCCCACACCTGGCCTCTCAATTAAAAAACAAGGTAAAACCTGCCTACCCCCCTCACCTGGCACTGAGGTCAGATAAAATGCGTACAAAGTTACTCTTCTTATGTAAGAAAGCCAAAGCTTCCCCTAAAAACACACACACCCTTCACCAAATAACACCCCACACACTCCCAGGCTCCACTACCTCGCCTCAGTAACAGAGGACAAGTCTTAGGCCATAGGAATAGCTGTTGGGAGAGAGATGGGGAGGTCAGGCGTGTCGGGGCAGGCCTGTGACCCCAGGACTAATGAGGCTGAGGCAGGAGGGTTGCTGTGAGCTGCAGGCCAACTAGAGAGACCCTGTCTCAGAGAAAGAAGGGTGGCTTAAGCAACCGTCCAGGCTCTTCAAAAACCACTACCTAGGCTCAAAATGTTTTCATCCTGTAACACAGCTGGGTGGGCCCATCCCGCGGGGGGAACCCCCCCCCCCCGGGCCTGAACACGTTGGTGGGGTACTGCGCGGGGTTCTTAGCTGAGCAGAGCCTCAGCACGGCACCGGGACTGCTGGCGACCGTTAGGAAAAAGCTGGGCGTCAGGGAAATTTGCAGCCGCCCTGCTGCCGGGCGCGGGCGCGGTGGAGCGAAGCGGCGAGCGCGCTGCTGCGCTGGCGGAGTGAGGAACCGCCGCGGACCACCCCTGGCTCCCTGTCTGGAAGTTTCGAGATCAGAGAGCTGCGCACAGCTGGGTTCACAGCTGCACCATTTGGAGCCCCGGGCTCATTAATATTCATGAGCCGCCCCCACCAATCGGCGGCCGGATGCCATTAGCCGAGCATCTGTCGCCTTCGCGCGGGCTGCCGCCCCCTCCGAAATGAACTTCCTTTGACGTTTTGGATTTGCCACTGTGGATTTTCCAGCCTCGCCTTGCTCTGCTGCATCAGATGGAGAGGCCCAGGGGAGGTGGGCAGGAGCGAGGGGTGGGCGCCAGCCCCGGGTCCCCATCTGCCTGTTGACAAACTTTATTTCCCGTGCAGCACCTGGCCCTGCCAGGCAACCAGGCTGCAGGGCGACAGGGCAGGTAAATTACACTTAACAAGGTTGTGGCTCCGAGAAGGCAGCATGCCCAGGTGGCACAGGGCAGCCACACTGCCTGCTTCTGAGGTTTCATTCCCATGCTGGGAAACTCAGGATTTGCCCAGCATAGTGGTGCAGAGTCGTGGTCGCCACAGCACTCAGGAGGCTGAGGCAGAAGGATCACTGGGAGGTCTTGGGCCAGCCGGGACTACACTGGCCAGACAGGAATCACAACAACTGGATTTTATCCTTGCGTTTTATTTCAAGCCAAAGCCCCTCAATTCTGAACTGAGGCACCACCACAAAGGCTGGGAGTGACAAAGGCTCGGTCACAGACAGGATGGCTTTGGGGCACAGGCCTGGGGCCAGGCAGAGGGCCTCACTATCCCTTGTCCCAACCCCCAGGCTGCTCTTCCAGAGCCTGGGGCAGCACCTGCTGGACCAAACAGGTGGCCTCCTGGCCACACCTCAGCCTCCAAAGCCCTGGGGACAGGGAGCTACTGCTACAGAGGAAGAAAAGGGTTTGGAACAGAAAGGCCACTCTGGCCCCACAGAGAAAAGAACCACGCTCCTCCAGGACAAAGCCCCCAGCACCTGCCCCTCCCTCCAGCCAAGACCACCACGTCCCTCGCCAGAGGCACAGAGCTGTCAGACTCCCGGGCCCACTCAGCTGGCTGAGGTCTTGGGAGCCACAGAAGCCACAGCCACAGGCGTTACGGTGCCTGGCCGGCTTGGCGGTGTGACCAAGGACAAGGGAGGCGTGGGACGTGGCCACGCTCTGGGCAAGGAAATGGGCAGGAGCCCAGGGGCCCGAAACACAGTGCTCACACAGGAGGGTCGCAGGTTGCCGGGCAGCTTGGGCAGCTCAAGACAGTTGGTTCCAAATAAAAATAAGGGGGAGGGGTGCAGTGGGGCAGCCCTAGGTGCAGCACACAGGATGCAGAAAAGGAAGGAAGGAAGGAAGGAAGGAAGGAAGGAAGGAAGGAAGGAAGGAAGGAAGAAGGAAAGGCAAGGCAAGGGAAAGGAGAGAGAGAGAGGAGCCAGGTGTGGTGGTGCGTATCTGTCATCCCAGCACTCCAGAGGCTAAGGCAGGAGGATGGCCATAGGTTCAAGACCAGGCTGGGCTACATAGTGAGACCCTGTCTCAAAAAAAAAAAAAAAAAAAAAAAGAAAAGAAAAAGAAAAAGAACAGAACAGAGAAACCAGCCAAGAAGGGAATACAACCCACGAGCACTGCTGCTGGCAGTGTTTGACACGGCCGTTGATCCCCAAAGCCAGTCACCTGGGGCTGTAACAGCCACACACCACTCAGCTCCCCTGAGACTAAATCCAGGCTCCTGTTCAGAGTCCCTGGCCCTGCATGTAACTTAGCAACAGCTGCATAACACCTGTTCTATGGAGGAGTCAAAAGCATCTCCACCGACCTCTGTGCACCCAGCCTAACGTGCCCACCCTGTCCCCACCCCACTGGACCCAGTGTCCTGCCTGCATCTTCTTTTTCCTATGGGGGGAAGCTATGACAGGGTCTTGCTGTGTAGTCTAGGCTGGCCTTGAACTGGCAGTGACCGTCCTGCCTCAGCCTCTTGAGTGCTGGGATGACAGGCCTGTACCACCACGCCCTGCTCATTCTGACTGTTTAAAGTAGAGCCCAGAGCTCAAAGCAGACCTCAGTTTCCCCACACTGCGTCCATCTGGCCAGCGTCCAAAGGCACCACACAGTCACCTCCCGCAGCTGACCCTGCAGGCTGGAAAGCAGAGGGTCCCTCATCAGGCCCTGTGCAGTCACAGGATGACCGGGGTGAGGAGGGCGGCAGCGCAGGGCTCTCCAGGGAAGGCGCCTCGGAGTCCACCACAGGGGCCCACACTGCCACGTGGTCCTGCTCAGCACTGGGGGGCGGTGAGGGCGAGCCCCTCTTCCCCGACCTCGGCAGAAAGCAGCAACTGGAGAGGGGAGAGGAAAGAAGCGGCTCATCAGATGGTAGAGATGGATAGGCAGACAGTCACACGGACAGCCACTCAACACGGGGCATCCACGCTGTGGACTCCCACGAGGCTGCAAAGGCACCGAGCATGGAGGAAGCTTCATCCAGACGGATGCACTTGGGAAACGCCATGCTGGCTAGACACGGTGGTGCACGCCAGTGAGTGAGCATTTGGGAGGCTGAAGCAGGAGGGTCCTTGTGACTTCAGGACCAGCCTGGGTTACAAAGTGAGACCCTCTCTTAAAAGACCCCAACACATCCTGAAAAAATCAACAACAACATTACACTAGCCAGACATGATAGTCCCTGTCCCTAACCCCAGCAATCTAGAAGGCTGAGGCAGGAAGATTGCAAATTTAAACCTAGCCTGGGCAACTTAGTGAAACCCTCCCTCAAAATGAAAAAAAACATAAAAGACTGGGCCACGTAGCTCAGTGTGAAGGTGCGGGTTCAATTCCCAGTACCACCATCAATACACAAATGTGAAAAAAGCCAGAACACAACCACATCTCTCTTCTGTTCTGCTTATTTTTTATTTTTCCAAGGCAGGGTCTCAGTGCAAAGCTCAGGCTGCCCTTGAACTCACTATGTAGCCCATGCTGCTCTCAAACTCATGGTGATCCTCCCACCTCAGCCTCCCAAGTGCTGGGATGACGGGGTGCACCACTGCACCCAGCTCAATCAGGTATCCTGGGTGTGTGAAATGTCTAAGGTCACCAGAGGGGAGTAGAGAAGCACTCTCTCAGCACAGGGCTTCTTTTGATGTTGGATTTTTGCAGCGCTTAGAACTCTGTCCAGAGCCTCACCAAGGCAGTCATGTGCACCACCACTGAGTTTACCCCCAGGCCTTTTCAATTTGGCACAGGGTCTCTCTAAGTTCCCCAGACTGGCCTTGACCTCGAATTCCTCCTGCCTCAGCTTCCCAAGTAGCTGGGATCACAGGCAAGCCCCAAAGTGCCTGGCCAGCTTTCTTTCTTTAGAATATGTACGTGTTCAAAAAACAAAGAACAGCCAGGCGTGGTGGCGCACGCTTGCAATCCCAGCACCTGGGAGGCTGAGGCAGGAGGGTTGCACAAAGGGGTTCAAGGGCAGCTTGGGCTACATGCTAATATCCTGTCTCAGGAAAAAAAAGAGAAAACCAGGAAGTGAGAGAAAGCCTTCTTCCCTTTCTCTCATTTAGAATGCAGGAACCCGAACTCAGAGAACAAAGCCTTCCTCAAAGCCCCCCTGCTGAGACCCTACTTCCCCTAACAGTGACCACAGAGTACTCTTTACCTGTTGGGCTGATCGCCTTGGGCCCGGCAGGCTGCGCCTGGCCTCTCCTCCTGGGCCCAGCCACAGTTGGACATGGCATAGTGCAGGATGGCTTCAGCAGCTGTGGTGGGGCTTCGGCCCTGCACGCAGGCTTCTATCTCGGGCACCGAGAGCTGGCTTTGCAGGAAGAGGTGCAGCTGGCTGTCCGACAGGAGGACCACGCTCTGCAAGACCCTGGGGTGACACAGGGACCACGGCCAGGGGCATCATCACAGGAAATCCAAGGAGCTGAGGGCCCCCAGAAGCAGAACAGGTTTGGTATCCCAGGGCACCTGCGTCACCCCACGCCCACCCTGCAGCCCCCGGCTGTCCGCTCACTTCTCCAGGAAGTGCTGCAGGCCCTGGCGTCGCTTCTCAATGAACTCATCTGAGCTGCCGAAGAAGGGGGCCTTCCCGGGAAGTTCGGGCACAGGGCTGTGAAGTCACAGTGGGACAGCCAGGTGTCACAGCCAGTGTCACATCTGGGACAGCCACGCCAGCCCCGATCAAGGAAGTGTCCTGAAGAAATGGCCAACCCACGCAGCTCTCTTTAAAGGGGGAGAAGCCAGGCGTGGTAGTGCACGCCTGTCATCCCAGCGCTCAGGAGGCTGAGGCAGGAGGGTCGCCGTGAGTTTAAGACCAGCCTGGGCTACATAGTGAGACCAGAAGGACCAGGGTTGTGGGGGCAGGGACGGAGAGGGAGAAAGGGGCCAAGCAGGCAGGGAGGGAGAAAGGGAAGAAAAAAGGAAGGAAGGGGCCTTTCTCTTTCTCAATGCCTGGTGAGTTGCGAGCTGATCTGCCGGAGCTGCACCTCCAGCACCCGCCAACTGGAGAAGCGTGAGGGACCAGGAGCAACTCACACCAGGCCTGCATTCCTCTGCAGCTGCTTCCTCAGCCACACGAACTCCCGGTAGCGGCGCCGCACACAGGAAGTCTTTGCCGTGAAGGCCTTGCTGTTTGTCTGCAGAGAGGCAGTGCAGGGGGTTAGGTGAGGACCACCTAAGGCCCCCCATGCCCCATGCCCCAAGCCTGCTCACATGGAGGAAAATCTTATAGTCCACGTAGGAGTTCCAGGAGCCCGCATTCTGCACGCGGGGGTCTTGAACGCGCACTGTGATCACCTCCTGTGGGGGAGAAACGGCCCTCAGTGGGCAGTGGAGGACCCAACCCTCCTACCCAGCCCCAACTTTTCTGCATTTCTTTGTTCATTAGATCCAACGCTATTTTCCAAGCACCTGCCTCTTGTCAAGCCCTGTGCTGAGCCCTGGGGAGGAAGAGGCAGCATCACAAGAGACAAAAATCTCTGCCCCAAGTCTACATTCCAACCTACACCTCTGTAATCCTAGCACTTAGGAGGCTGAGGCAGGAGGACTGCCACAAGCTAGGCCAGGTTAGGCTACTACTGGGTTCCAAGCCAGCCTGAACTACACAGCAAAACTCTATGTATCTCCTGCCAGGCTGATGCTGCGTGCCTGTAAGCCCAGCACCCGGGAGGCTGAGGCAGGCCAGCCTGGGCTACATAAGTGAGTTCAAGGCCAGCCTGCACTATACAGGGAGACCTTGTTTAAAAAAGAAGAAAAAAAGACCTTATCTCCAAAAAAAAAACCCAAAACAGAACAAAACGAAACAAAAAAGGAGCATCCCTTCCCCAAAATGTCACTGCTATTGCTTTCTTCCTTTGGGCTTCCTGTGGCGTTTGTCAGGGCCACCAAAGTGTGACCAGGAACAGCAACCCTGCCCCGTTTTCTGTGCCCGAATGTGTCTTCTCTCTGTGCCTCCCCCCCGCCATACCCAGTCGTGCCCCAGGACCAACCTCACCTCCTGCTCCTGGTTCTCTGACATCCTACACCCACAGCCGGCTGCAAGAAGGCATCTGACAGGGACAGAGCACACAGGGCAAGATGGTTACTCCTCTGCCTCTGCCCTTTCAATCTCTGCCCGGGCAAAACCCTCAAAGTTCCTAACAGACACCCCCCGGGGAAACCCAGGTAATATATATAAGGTATTTTTTGTGGTCATGTGTAAAACTTAAAGAGGAACCAAAAAATGAAAACTCCAACACACATAGCACCCTACAGTAGTTCAGTGCAAAGGTAAAGTCGTGAGAGATTTGACTTTGTCCTCAGATTACTCCTGAGATGCTCTCCAAGACCACCTCCACCCAAAACGCGCTGTGGGCCACAGGGAGCATGCCTGAGGCAGCCAGAAAGGCAGGTTGGGTTGTGACATGTGACATGTTTGCTTTAGCTGGGCTTAGTGTGGCATACCTGTCATCACAGCACTCAGGAGGCTGAGGCAGGAGGATCGCTGTGAGTTTGAGACCATCCTAGGCTACATAGTGAGACTCTGTCTCAAAAAAATAAAACATCCTTGCTGTAAGGATGGATGCGGGAGCTACCCCAAATGGTAGGCACTGGGAGCAAAGCTTTGTAAACGAGCCTAATAGCGCCCCCTCCTGGCCATGTTGAGAGAAAACCAAACGTACAAAAACCAAGGTGGGCAGGGGGCTCTTTGTCTTCCTAAGCCACCATCGCCTCTTGACAGGTGGATCAGAGAGGGGAGCACTCCAGGGAGCATCTGAGAGGATGCTCCTCGGGTGGAGGCTCCCTGATTGAACCTGTTCCCTGGCACTGCAGGCGAGCGATGTAATCACTTCCTTGTGCTACACGCCATCCGCTGTGTCCCAGCCCCACGCCTGCAGCTGCGCAGGTCGGCTCAGGACGCATTTGCTCCTTTGCAAAGATTCATTAAAGCCTAAGCCCTGATGTCCCCCAGTGTGGCCGTTTACATGCAGAGCGACATCGCCCACTCCAACAAGGGGACCGTGAAGGCTGCAGCTCAGGGTTCCTGGAGTCCAAAGGGGCCCATGATGTCACCTTCTGTTAAAATACAGCACTAATCTTGTCATTCCTAAAACCACTCCCACAGCACCCACCCTGGCTGCTGCTCCGTCCCCTTCCCCTCTCTTAAGAGCGGAACAATAAGGTTTAATTTCCCTTTCCAATTTACCTTGAAATAAAAACAGACTTCAGCCAGTAAGGACTGCCAACGAATGATCTGGGCCAGCTCCTGGGAACACAAGACCCGCGCTCAGCTCCCCCGCCCAGCGCCATCCACACACCCACTTGCTGTTATAGTCCCACAATTAATTTTAAACACATTCTCTTATTAGTTCTGCCTTACCATTAGAAGACAGTGTAATGAGCTTCCCTCTATTTTATGTTTTGCTAACACAAGGCGAACGTCTCAAAAAAAAAAAAAAAAAAAAAAAAAGGAGGAACTCATTTACAGCGTGAAATTAGCAGAGCAAACAGCTTTTGTAATTCTTTCCAATATACCAAAAGGTCTCTCTGCAGACAGACACTGCACACAGAGACAAGGCGACATGGCAGGTGACAAAATTGGGCTGCATCTGGAGTGAACCCGAGGTTTTGCAATTTCAGTGCCACACTGGACAGGATTCTTGCTGACAGTCTCCCCTGAACCCACAATATTCCGGAGATAAGCAGTCCAGGCGCTATGACCAGGAAGAGCAGACAAATCTCCTTGGATTTAAAAAAAAAAAAAGTTTTTCTCTCTTCTCTTTTCAAGCATTTGGTAAACTGTCAGCTCAGGAACAGAGAACTAAACATTCTGAGAAGTCTTTCTACAAAAGTAATAATCGGAACAATGATATCTTCCAGGAAACTGCAGTCACCCACACCGTCAGTGGAGTTTCTATCTTCTGCATCCAGAAAACTTTGCAAAATTCAGGACCGTAAGTCAGTAGCAAAGCTCACGCTACCTCTGGTCAGGAGAACAATCTGGACAGGGTCCTGTATCATCTCCTTGTGATAGTTCTTCCCTTTAAGCCCTTTATCACTTAGGAACAAATATCTATATACTAGACGTTTTTTTAAAAGGCTCGGCACATATCTGTAACCCCAGCATTCTGGGAAGCTTGCAACAATAAGATCAAAAGTTCGAGCCCAACTTGAGGAAGTAAGATTGACCCTGTCTCAAACTAAAAAGCAGTGAGCTGGGGATAAAGCTCAGTGAGACAGTCCTGTGTTCAATTCCCAGCACAAAATAAGTAAAAGTATACAAGAGCCCCTGAGATGTAGTATGCTGAAATCTGACTTTAAAGGGAACTGAGAAACTTTTGGTTGTAACTTTCATTTGAAACAGGGACAAATATAGAAATCCACAGTGAAGGTAATAATTTCTAGCAACTACTATTCGCCACCCCCTTCCTTCCCACAGACATTTCCCAGAAGAAAATAAGGCCCAGGAGGTTCTTTAGCGGTATCATTTCAGCAGCATACAAAGACAGTCAGAAACCACTTACCTTCCACAATTTACAGGGCGATATTTGCTCAGCCCTTTTGATCACAAGTGAGGTGTCATTTATTTTTTCTCCACCTATACTAGCACCAATAGCGCTGAGAGAGAACTCAGCTGTTTGCTGTTTACAGCATAGGTTAGTTTTTAAGACTTTTCAAAATCTTAAACAAATTCAGCCAGGAAGGGGCGTGGCCCTGTGAGCACGGCATTCTGGGAGGGCTGGCGAGAGGATGACAAGTTCGGGTCCAGCCTGGGGTACTTAGCGCCTCGGCGAGACGCTGTTTCAAAAGACAACCAGGTCTGGGGACGTGGCTTAGGGCAAAGGCTGAATTCGATGCTCAGTATGAAAACAAACGCCCACAGAGGGTAGAGAAATTCCCTGTCTGGCCAAGCTGTGTGATTTCAACCACTCAACGCTGTTTCATGTTTGTTTGTTTGTTTTAATTCGTCTGCAACCCGCTCCTCTTTCCATTCGGAAGGTAACAAAGGCTCTCACAAACAAACCAGCACGTCTGCTGTGGGCGCGTACAATATTCGCCATTGCCTAAAACCTAGTTGTTTCGGAAAATTTAACCAAACTCTAACTACAGCCACTCATCTCCACTGTTCTTAACGAGCTGGGAGCCCTCGTAGCCATCCTTAGCCCTTTCCCGATAGAGACTGAGAGTGGGAAGAAAAGATCCCTCACACGAAGTAAACTGGAAAGCCAGGTTTTCTCTCGAGGGTCTCCTGCAAGCCCTCAACTTCATCACAAGTGTAAGACAGCCCCTTCCCTAGGGTGTCAAGTGAGGCCATCACTCAGGTGCCCAAGACCCCTCGCCCGTGAGCAGCCGGAGTCCCCGCAGTCCCGCCCACGCCCACTTACCTAAGAGCAGCGCCTATTTCCCCCAGGACACCACCTTAAACCAGAATCAAGGTTTCCCCTTCCGGGTGAGTCGCCAGCGCCCCAGTGCACGACGGGAGACGGTTCCCGGACAGCCAATCAACGCCACCTTGGAGGCCCCGCCCCCGAAAACTCCGGTTTTCAGTGGCTACGAGTTCCGGGAGGCGTGGCTATCCCCCGCCCAAGCTGAGGCAGGAGAAGAGCTGGAGTCTTCACTAACACTCAGCGCGGGAGAGTGGGAGCGGATCGGGTTGGGGGCGGATAAGATGCTGACGTCCAATCCAGAGCCGTGTCGCCTGCCCGCCGCCGGAGTGCAGCCAATCAGAGTCCGGGGGACGTCTTTCAGCGCTTGTGAGTGGGTCCCAGCCACAGAAGTTGTTGTTGTTGGTCAGGTCCGCTGAAGGCGGTGTGTGATACCTAGGTTCGTGAGAGCAACGCCCACATTCCTAGAGCCTCACTAAATCCCTAGAGAACCCCACTTTGAACCTCGTAAGTTGCAGTTCCCCAGCGGAGCTCGGAATCGGGAAGCTACAGATCTTCAGCGAAAACCAGCCTGAGAGCACAGGAACTTAGTGCCTCGCAGAAACTACCACAGAGAAGGATCGCGCAGTGGTTAACGAGCTAGAGAGCCGTGAAATATGCTTGAGACTTTAGGCTCGCTCAGAATGTCTTCTGCTGGGCGTGGTGGTACACGTCTGACATTCCAGCACTCGGGAGGCTGAGGCAGGAGGATCGCTGTGAGACATAGTGTTCAAGGCCAGCCAGAACTGCATAGCCAGACCCTGTCTCAAAAAAATAAAGAAAGAAAGGAAGAAGTCTTTTCATCACCTGTTTAAAGATTTTGACAAAGATATTCTTCCCTGACATAAGGCGATTTGGGTACAATGCCCGACACTACACTGACGTATCCTTGAACTAATCCTAAATCTTCAAGAAGCAATACAAAATTGCAGGAGCTGGAGGTTTAGCTCAGCGACATAAGCACCTGCCTTGCAAGCAGGCAGTCGTGAGTTCAATCCCTGGTACCGATAAAAAGGAAAAAAACAACAAACAATACGAAATTGCAGTGGTAATTGCATCACCTGTGTAGTGGACATTGTTGCACATAAAGCAGTGTGTCGCAAATTTTTGGTTTTAGGATCACTTTATATAAACTTTTCTCTTTTTTTTGCCTTTTTTTTTTCTTAATCAGTACTGGGGATGGAACTCACAACTGCAGGCTTGTAAGGCAGGTGCTTATGCCGCTGAGCTAAACCCTCAGCTCTTTCTTTTGGCTTTTTGAGACAAGATATTGCTCTGTAGTTCACGCTGGACTTGAACGCACTATGCTGTGGCCCAGGCTGGTCTTGAACTCACCGCGATCTTCCTGCCTCAGCTTCCCCAGAATGCAGGCGTTCCAGGTATGGGGGTGCAGCATTGAGGTCTGGAGATGCATTAAGAGTTATTAAGGGACCGTGCACAATGGAGCACACCTGTAATCCCAGCTGCACAATTTACTGTTATAGCAGTGAGACCCTATCTCAGAATTTAAAAGAGCTGGAGATGTAGCTTAGTGCAGAAAGCCGAGTTCAGTGCTTGCTACTGGAAGAAAAAGGGATAAAGGGATCACATCTGTGATGCCAGCTCTCTGCAAGGCGGGGCAGGAGGGTCCAAATTCAAGGCCAGCCTGGACTATGTGGTAAGACTGGACCACAAAACAAGCAAAAAGTGGTATTCTATGCAAAAGTAGCTAATTCAACACACACAGCTCATCTGCATAAGTGGCATATTTAGTAAGCAACAGAAGCAATTTATACATCCTTATTTCATTGTCTAGAACAGGAAAAAGAGATTGCAAACTCCTATTTAGCAGTTTCATTGTAGATCAAGTGAAAGCAGGATGTTTAACTCTTGTCTGCTGTTAACTCTTTTTAGGTAGGGTTTCCTCTGTGTAATTCAGGTTGGCTTTAAATGTGTGACAATCCTCCTGCCTCAGCCTCCTGAGTGTTGCGATTACAGACTATGCCTGGCTCAGTAACTTCTAACTCTTGATAATGGACCCCACCTTTATTGTACCTAGAATGCCAGCAAATGACATAATTACACACTGAGCCTTTGTAATTCAAAAGCCCAGCTCTAACATGCTCCAAAATCCAAAGTATTTTGAGCACCATCGTGATTCCACACCTGACCTTCGGTGATAGGTGGCAGTCAAATTGCCAACACACTGAAAATATCATATAAAATACCCTTCAGACTATGTGAGCATAAGATATATATGAACATAGCTGGGTATGGTAAGAGATACAGGAACATAGCACTTGGGAGGCTGAGGCAAGAGAATTTCCATGAGTTCCAGGGCAGCCTGAACTGCATAGTGAGACCCCATCTCAAAACACCAAAAACAAAAATGATATATATGAACATAAATGAATTGTATATATAAGCTTGAGTCCCATTCTCAACATGTCTTATTGTATATATGCAAATATTTTGAAATCCAAAAAAATCTAATAAAACACTTCTCTAGTATTTCCACCTGTCTAACAGTAACCTCTTTAACCAGTCACAGGCACAGATGCATGATTCAGGAAATGCATTGTGGGGGCACACAGGTTGTAAGACAAGGTCTCCGCATGTAGTTTAGGCTGAACTTGAACTCCCAGCTGGCCTCAAACTGTTATCCAGCCTCTTGCCTCAGCCTTCCAATTGCCAGGATTACAGGTGTACTTTACCACAGTCAGTGCGTTTTTTTTTTCTTTTTTGCAGTCCTGGAGATCAAACCCAGGGGACTCATGGACTGGGGGTTTAGCTCAGCGGCAGAAGCGCCTGCCTTGCAGGCAGGTAGTCGTGAGTTCGATCCCCAGTACCGATAAAAAGGAAAAAGGCCAAAAAAAAAAAAAAATTTACACTCCTCCCAGCTCAGCTTTCCAGAGCGCTGGGATTGCAGGCATGTACCACCATGCCCAGCCTGCAGAATTTCTTTCCTAATGTTATTGCAACTGAGTCATCATAGACTTGTTCAGGACAAAACTGCTGATGTCCAAGGAATTGCATCTGTCACAGGAAGAAGACTCAGCTCTGTCTTTATCATTTACCTGTGTAACACTGGACAAGCCGCCGGCTTCTCTAAACTCAGCCTCAGCATCACTAAAAACCTAGCAACTATGAAAATGTTACCTGAAGCCTGCTTTCCAGTATTTCTGTGGAATTAACAGTACTGTGGTGGGAAGGGAAGGACTTGTAGCTGGCACTCAGTAGCTGGTAGCTATTTTAAGTATGGTAGGCAACTACTTCTGAAATGTGGTTTAAGGAGAGGGGAAGTACGGAACTTTTAAAACATTTCCCCACACACTAGAAAATTCTTTCATTTTGTCTATGACTTGAAATTTTATTGCTAAAGATTTGGTCTTTTGAGATTAACAAGTGCCCTCCTTTTAAAGGGCAAATAGGTTTAAGAGGTTTCTTTAATCTGATTCTCACAATGACTTCCTGGTAAAACCTGGACCCTAATTAAAATACCCAGTTCTGGCCTGGGGGTAGGGGATGGGGCATGGGGGTACACACACCTTAATTCCAGCACTCTGGGAGTCTGAGCAGAGATCAGTGTACTGGGGATTCAGGTCTTCTCTGTAAGGTACAATTTCAATGGCTCTTTTATTTTTTCAGTTTGACATGAGGTTTCCCTAAATCACTAATTTGCCCAGGATGGGCTTCAATTTGTGACCCTCTTGGCTCAGACTCCCCAGAGTGCTGTGACTACAGCTGTGTGCCACCAACTCTGGCTCTAATTTGCTTCTCTGGGGCAGCTGTGGAACAATGCTCATGGAGTTTAAGGGGGCTGACATCCACTGGCACAGGAAATGAAAAAAGAGGAAATCCAGAAAGCTATTCTGACATTTCCCATGTGGGGCTGCTTCAGAGGTGAAGTAATCTCGATGCTTAAGAGAAGAAACCTTTTTTTGAGTTTTGTTTTTTGGTTTTCTTGTTTTGTTTTGTTGTTGTTTTGCTTTTAATAGTCAGGGAGTGAGGATTGCCTAGATTATTTGAGATTCAACGAGGTGGCGATTTCATAAAGCTGCGATGGGGAATCAGTTAAGATTCAAAGTGTCAAGGATATAGCCACAAGAACTATCCAGAAGCATAAAGATTCACTTATAAAATCACATGTTTGGGGGTTTTGTTTTGTTTTGTTTTGTACAGTGGTGGTGACTGAACCCAGTGTCTTTGTACTGAGCTACGCCCACAGGCTTTTTAAAAAATCATTTGAGACTGGGCCTTCCCAAGTCGCTAAACTGCCCACAATGGGTTCGAACTTAACGATCCTCTAGCCTCACCTAAGAGCTGAGGTCACAGGGGAGCGCGATGCAGCAGCGCCTTCTCAGTTTAAAAACTAAAACTCCCGACAGCCCTCGCAAACGGTGCGCACAGCGTGGCACGCGCGCGGCACTCTGGGATTTGTCGTCTTAGACTCCGGGCCCCATGGTGCCCTGCGGTGGGTCGTCGCGCCTGCGCGCTGTGGGCGGCGGGCAGCGCAGAGTGCGAGGCTCTTTTGTTCGGCTGAGGGGAGGGCCATTAGCCGGGGCCTGCGATACGCCGCTTCAGTTTGGGGGTCGACTGTGGCCACCCGCTTAAGTTGCTCTACCGGGCGCCACTCCCCCGGCCAGCCGGACACGACGCGACGCGCCAGCCGCGCGGTACCGATTCTTCTCGGACACTTGGGCGCTGCGCTGAGGTGAAGAGTCCGCTGGCGGCGCGGGAGGGGGCGGGGTGCGCCCGGGCGGCGCGGGCCGCCGAGGTTTCCCGCGCGGGCTCCGCGCCGGGCGCTGGCGATGGGGAGGATGGAGAGGGCGGGATGGTCGGCTCGGAGAAGAAGGTGGCGGCGGCGGCTGGGGATGGGCCGAGTGCTTGGGTCCCTGTAGGGGCCCACGGGGCTGAAACAAAGCTCTGCTCGGGCCGAGTGGGCGGGCCCGGGCCGGGCGGGACGCTGTAGGGACGGTGGATGGCTACTGACGGAGCGCTCGGATGTGCATGGCGGGGTCCGACTGCCGCCGGAGCCGGAGCTCCGGAGTGTGACCCGTGGGGATGTCGCGGCTGGCCCGCGCTGCCCGAGGAAATCGGGATCCATAGCTGGGAAGTACTAACTTCAGGAAACAGGAAGAGAAGGGGGCCGGGCCGTCAAGGTGCGCGCTCCAGGCCGGGAGATCGGGGGGTGGGGAGGTTTGCTAGGCCTGCCGGCGGAGGGGGGCGACCTCTTAGGGTAAGTGGAGCGGAGATCAAATGTGTGAAGCGCGAAAAGCTGCCTTTGCCCCGAGATGGGTCCCGCTAGTGGGGTGCCTCTAAGAGAAGGGTGTGAAGAAAGGATGAGACCCACGCTTCGCTTCTCTAGGTTTTTGGTTTCTTTCTTAGACAAAGTCTTGCTCTGTTGAGCAGTCTCAGAACTCCTGGGCTCTGGCGGTCCTCCTGCCTCAGCCTCTGGAGCAGCTGAAACTGGAATGCATGTACCACCTGTTCTGGCTTCTGAATTTTTGTTTTCTACCTTCACTCCATACTTCCTGTAGGGTGTTTTTGTAGCAGGTTGAACTCCAGCCTCTTAACCTCAGCCTCAGACTGCTGAGATTACAAGTGTGAGCCGTCTTTCCTGGGTGTTCCTTATGGGTTTGGTTTTGGTTTTTGAGACAGGGTCTCACTGTAGCTCTCCGTAATTCTGGGTGGCTTTCAACGCACTGTGTAGCCTGGGCTGGCCTGGAAATCGTGATAATCCTGCCTCAGCCTCCTGAGTGCTGTGATTACAGGCATGCACTGCCATTCTTAGTAAATTCTTAACGTTTTTAGCTAACTTTTCCTTGTTGGAAAAGTTGAATACTAAGTAAGGAATACCTTCTCCCTTTTCAGAGCTTCAGAAGAGAGTTCTTAAAAATTGCTGTTACATCTAGACAAATGTGAGTTTAGTTTAGTTGAAGGGGGATTTACAAAAAGCAAGTGTAGTGCTACAGCCTCCAGCCGGGGTTTGAGTACCCCTATTGGTGTTAAGGATCGTGTCAGCAGCCATGCACAGTGGTGCACTCCAGTAATCCCAGCACTCTGGGAGGCTGATGCAGGAAGATAGCGAGCTTCAACCCAACCTGGTCAATTTTGGAAGACTGGGGGAAGGAAGCTGGGGAGGCAACTCAATGTAAAGGCCTGTGGTTTAATCCCCACTGCTGCTAAATAAATACATCAAAAAAGAAAAGCGGAGACTTAGCTCAGTATGATGGGCCTGGCTTCCATTCCCAGTACTGCCAAAAAAAGAGAAGAAAAAAAATCCTCCAGGTGGTTTGGAATGATTCTGAAAGGCCCAAGATGTGTGAATGCAGCCTCGCTCCCCGGGTGCCTTCTGGACCTTTCTGTGGAAGGGGGTGCCAGTGAAAGACACCTGTGGTAGAACCCCATGCCCCTCCAGGGTACTCAAAGGGCCTCAGACACGCAGCTTTTCCCCGTGGTGACATTTTTCTTCAGCAGCTGCTGTAGCCTAAAGTATTCGTTTTTATTAAAAATGTAATCAGTGTGCACCTAATGGTTTTGGCTTCTTTATTAAAGATGAAGCGAGGATACCCTGGCCTCGTTTTTTATTTTCATTTTTTATGTGTGTGTGTGTGTGTGTGTGTGTGTGGTGCTGGGGGTTGACAGGGCTTTCCGCGTGCTAAGCAGGTGTTCCACTACTGAACTGTATCCCAGAGCTCTTTTTTTCTATTTTATTTTGAGATAATGATCACTAAACCACTTTGCTGAGGCTGGGCTCAAACTCCAGTCCTACTGCCTCAGCCTCCAGGGTGCTGGATTACTGATGTGGACCACCACCCCTTGCCTTCTTAGCTTTTTTGTACTGGCTACACTTTGGAGTAAAAGGCTAATGGCTATTTTGTGTCTAAAGTAAGTAATCCTGTCCACACCTTATATGGCATATAGTAGGCCATTCAGATGCAATGAAGGAGTGAATGGGGCTTTGAGAGCCATCCTGAGAATTTCATTTGTTAGTCAATAGACTTTAAATGTGCAGTTATGGAGTGGTTGACAGTATTTGTGGGGCGTGGATCGAAAGCTTTCCCAGGGCTGCAGTCCCACCTCTGCTTGCTGTACTTGCCCTGGAAAGGCACGCAGGCTGCTGTGGACCATTTTAACTTAGGCCCCAGGCTCTGGGTTCAGGGAGCTGTATCACTTGAATATTCTGTTTTAGAGGTATCTTTAGCTGGTGTAGCTCAGTGGTTGACCACTTGCCTATCATAGCACATATAATAAGGCTCTGAGTTCAATGTCCAGCACCCTAAAACAAAAGTTACCCTTTTCCCCGTGTGTATCTGTGTGTGTGTTAAATCCCCAATAAGTATCTTCATTAGTGTATTTAAATTTGTAAACTATCAAGTTTCATTGTTGCATATAACATGTTGGTTTTTCAAGACAGAATCTATTGTGTAGCTCAGACTGGTGTTAATCTCTGTCCACTACTACAACCTTCCTAGTACAGCTGTGTGACACCACACCAGGTCTACTTATAATGTTGTAACACATGCCTGTAATTCCAGCACTTGGGAGGCTGAGGAAAGGTCACTGCAAATTGGAGAGCAGCCTAGGCTACAAAATGAGCTCGAGGCCAGTTTGAACTGCATAGGTTAGACTCTGTCGAAAAAAGACCAAGAAAAAAAATTGTGATCATATCCACTTCCCCAAAAGTGATCTTAAAAAAAAAAAAAAAAAAACCAAACTATTCTTTTAAAATTGGCCTTGGGAGCACACCAAGGATCCCAGCATTCTGGGAGCATTGGACAAGGGGATGGCAACTGTAAGCCCAGCCCAAGCAATTTAGTGAGCCTCTGTCTCAATAGAAAATGAAAGAAGGGCTGGGGATGTGCCCCAGGGCCTCAGGCACCTTCTGCCACAGCCACACCCTGAATGGTTTGGGAGCAGGGCGGCACACCCACACCTGTCATCCTAGGACTCTGGAAGTAGACTGAGACCGGAGCTCTGAATTCAGGTATTCAGGGTAGTTTAGTGATACCTGTCCCAAAATAAGTGTCCAGGAACTCCTTGGTTCCTACAGCACACCTTCTCCTGTGACCCTCTCCTGCCCTGAACTGCAGGGGTTGTATGAGCCACCTTAGGGACACTGAAGTACCCAAGCTGAAGCTGCCTTTGAATTACCATTTTTCCCTTTTGAAATGAAGGAGAAGGGTAACGCGTTCCATGAATCCCAGCGCTCAGGGGGGCTGATGCAGGAAAATCACAAGATCTCAACTGGGCAAGTAAGGCAGACAGTCTCAAAATTATGTTTCTTGAGACAGTGTCTTCAGGCTGGCCTTGAACTGTTGATCCTCCTGCCTCAGTCTCCCCAGTGCTGGTATTACAGGCTTGCGGTACCAACCCAACCATTTCTCAAAAATTAAAAAAGAGTGAGGTGTAAAAAAATAAAAGAAGGGCTGGCACCCTAGTTAGTCCAGAGAGTCTGTATTCATGCTGCAGCACCACAAAAGAGAAAAAGTCTTCAGTGCCCTTTGTAAAGCTTTGAATAACAAGGATTTCCCAATAGCGGTGTTGGTTGAAAAACTGAATAACCTTGCCAAGGTTAATTGGAAAATTTATGCAAATATGAACAAGATGTGGATGCTATCATTACTTGAATTGTGTAACTTGTATTGAATATTTCTGGCCTGTTATGTTTACGGTTTGACAGCCAGAAGGGGGCAACCTCTTTCGCCTAAATTGTGCCTTTCTCTGCACTAATAGCACCTCAAGTGCCTTCCAGAACTGGATTGTTTGGGAGGCTGGTGTCAGTAGCCGAGTTTTCTTAACTATGAATGCTTCGGATTCTGCTTTTTTTGTAATACTGGGACTAGAATTCAAAACCTCATAAATCCTTTTACTTTGGGATTACAAAATGTGTTTCTCTGGGTTTCAGAGAGCTGCCCTCAGTGTGGCAGCAATGTGCACAGAGATGTGTGCAATGGTGCAGCTGCCCCTCTCTCCAGGGAGAGAGGCTTCCGGGACCCCTTGCAGACCCCAAGCGAGCAGATGCTCAAGTCCCTTAGAGAATACTGTGTAATTTTTGTATGTAACCTACTGTTTTCCCTGTGTACTTTGTATCAGCTCTAGATTATTTAAAATACCTAACAACCTCAATATTAGTTAAGCAGTTGTTACACTGTGTTAAGGCAACAGTGGCAGTAAAGGCTGTTACCATGTTTCCCCTGGATTTTAGGGTGTAGAGCAGTACTGGGGGTTGAAGTATGTCCTGGGCACGTTGTTTATTTGTTTGCTCGCTTGTTTATTTTTGTACTGGGAATCAAACCCAGGACCTTGTGCTTACCAAGCAGGCACTGTGCCACTGAGCTATATCCCTGGCTCCTGTTTATTTTTATAGGTCTCCCCTCCCCCCCCCTTTTTTTTTTGGAACAGTGTTTCGCTATTCAGTTCAGGCTGACCTTGAACTCCAGCAGTCCTCCTGCCTCAGCCTCCTGCAGTTATGCCACACCCAGCTATTTTTATTTTAAGAGAGGGTCTTGCTAAATTGCCCAGTTTGGGCTTGAATTTGCAGTTGAATCATTTCAGCCTCCCAGAGGCAAGGATCCCAAGTGTGTGCAGTCCTGTCCAGCTGTCCAGATTGTTTTAACCTGGTTGAATCTGCACCTTGGAACCTTTAAGCATAGAAGGATGACTATAATTCATTCCAGAGGTCATAATAGCTCGCCACACACCTATATC